GGGAGCAGAGGAGCTTCCTGCTGGCAGACCAGACCAGGCCATACCAGACCCTGCTCCCCATTCTGTGCCCCACTTTGCTGCTGCTGCTGCTGTTGCTGCTGCAGTGGAGTATATGATGTGCCAAGAAAGACGTCAACTTGTCACTTGGCAGTAGCCCTCTCTGTGGATGTGCAGGCAGCAGCAGCAGCAGCGGCAGCGGCCGTAACAGCTTTTAAGTTGGTTAATTTGTCAAAAGAAGGAACACAGCAAAAAAAAAAAAAAAAAGCTGCAATTGTGTAAAGAGTTCCTCCTTCTTTTTTTTGGTTTTTTTTTTTTTGAGTGCTGGTATCCCCTGAAATGTCCTGAATGTCGTCTGATGTGCCAAGTGTTTGCATTTAGCCATCCGACTGATGGCAATGGCAGTGGCGTGGCACTGACTGATGTACAGAGAATTAATCACGCTCAAATAGAGCTCCAAAGTGGATTCCAGGCTCTTTTAATTTTTTTTTTCGTTTGGCTTTAAACTGTAGAGTTTCCGGCCCTTTAGAGAGCTACCTACAAAAAGGGTGTTACACGCATATCGATTACGAAAGGCAAACGAATGCAGGAAGGCGCAGGGCCAGGGGCAGGGCAAGGTGCAGGGAGGGCAAGTAAAAGTTGCAGTTTTGCAGTTAATGATTCCCCAAGTTGTCCACAGAAGAAACTACGCAGGGAACGCACGCGGGGGGGCGCAAAGAGATGTGGCAAGGGAGGCAACAAAAAGTAAGTCAATCAACTTTTAGCCCCAACATTCCGCATTCCCACAGTGCATTAAGCAATGGGAAGGGGAGGGGAGGGGGCTCTGCTCTGGCCCTGTCCAAGGCTCTGCCAACAAATTCCTGTCCCAGGGATCCCAGGATAGAGGAGGGACCTGAGAAACAACAAGCACAGAAACCACTTGCGGTTGCATTTTGTGGTTTTCGTTTCCATTGGGGCATGCATCCACAGGCAACAGCGACAGCCACGGCCACTGCCACTGCCACTGCAAACGAGAGACGAACTTTTCGCAGGGCGTGAGAATTTCCCACTTCCTCTCTCTCTCTCTCTCTATCGCTGTGTGGTGTGGGAGGGAGCACGTGATAGAAAGTAAATCTTAAGGCAATGATTTCTCATTGTGATAAGGCGTGAAACTGTGAGATACATTTAGCAGTTAAACGAAAGTTTTACGAGGCCTCTAGGCCAGCACAAATGGAAAGGTTAACCTCAAGACAGAAGCTACAGCTAAAGCTGCTGACCCTAATGGATCATCTGAGTGAGTGTGGAAAAGTGTGCGGGGGAAAAGTATGGGGGAAAAAGTGAGAAAAACAAAAGGGAACAAGATCATCTGTGACAGAAGAAAGTTCACGATAAAACCTTGATGGACCATAAAAAACAGAAGCTTTGGAAAAGACCTCGAGACTGTATGTAGATAAAGCCTCAAAGCAATTGCTAATGGATGATTTAGCTGACGATCAAGGAACATTTAGAGGGCTCTGCTGTACAAGGTGCATAGAGAGACGCTTAAGGGAGAAATTTGCTTGTAAGAGCTGCTCGGGGTGGCTAGTATATGGATTAGGGCATAGAAACTTGAAGACATCTTTTGTCTTGTTAAATAGCTTTCATTGTAAATAATACAACATAGACCTCGTGTAGAGGCAGCCAACAACTATTCCACATAACTCCAACTTCCACTTCCAACTATTCAAATGCCATTTCCAACTACACAGATTCCGTTGGCAACTATTCAAATTCCTCTTCCAAGCGTTTCCAACTTTTTAAATTCCTCTGCTTACTACTTGAAATTCCGCTTAACTCATCTTAAATTCGATTTGCAAATTTACCCATTCGATGACTAATAGTTGATTTCCCTAGAAGCAAATTCAATACCGAATCACTTAACACAAATTCCACCAATATATAATCGTTCTCACTGTACGAGTATAAGGAAGGCCCCTACACACACACACACACACACACAGGGGAGAAAACCGGTGGCTCTATAATTGTTTTATGGCCCACTCGCATTTCACAGCCTCGCAAGCAAATAAACCGCTAACAGATTTTGTGTACTTAGCCTTTCTGTTAATTAATTGTTAACAGAAAACCAACTGTCGACAAAAACACCAACAGAGTCGAAACAGACAGAGACAGAGTGAGAGAGAGAGAGAGAGAGATATATATGAAAAGCCACACAGAAAAAAGCGTCGTCAAGCTTCCAATTTTTGCTGACATTTTGGTGCCATAATTTATAATAAAATATATACCCCACCCCGGCACCCCCTCCCTATACACCTCGTACATATAATATATTTTTGACTGGGGCTTTTAAAGGCGCTGACTAAGTGTGTTTTTCGCTGTAATTTAGCCAAGTTAGCATGAAATGGTAAACGAGGTACGAAATTCCCCGACTTGACTTGAATTCAATTGAATTTCGGAATACTTTTGATATATACAGCTCACAGCAGAGGCAGTCAGTCGCTGATCGGCTCATTGAATTGCAAATTGATTTTGAAAAATTTGCTTATGACACGAGTGACGATTGAGTGGGGGCAGTGGGGGGTAGAGCCACTAAAAAAGATACAGAAACAGCGATACATTCATGTAAGCAAAAGTCCGGGTGGCACAATTTTTATGGCAATTTCTGTTTCAATTGTCTTTTGTCGATTGGCGGGACATACGCGTACAATATGTGTATGGGTTGTGGGTGTGCCGCTCTTTCATTTGAAAGACAATAGACCTTTTGTGTGCATAACTGTATATGGAAATCGGACAACTTCCTGAAGCTACAAAGCTATATTCCCCCGCCCCTGCATACCATTAAGCTGGCAGATTATACACGACAAAACGTTTACGGATTGATCGTTGAGCGCTACAATTCCTTCTGCAAAACAACAATCCTTTCATTGGAATTCTTCTAGTAGCAAATACCAACTGAAACTCGTTTGTACAACTCCACACACACTCCACACAGATCATATCAAAAGACATCTTCATTCGTTCAAGTTTCCACCAACATCGCAACATCACAGCATTTAGTACGAATTGAGTTATAAGCGAAGGCCTCGCTACTAGATCTCCAGCGAAAGATAAATGATGGGCAGCAGCAGCAGCAGCAGCAGACCACCATCGAGAGACGAGAGGCGAGCAGAGACTTCCTCTCAGCCAGTGCCCCGCAATCAATAGACTACTTCCCTTTTAAAACGCCTTTTTGTGGGCCAGGACGTGGGTGCAATATCAAATTATCAAATGAGGCGAATATCCTCCTTCCTTGTAGCAGCACGTCTCCAAATAGTTGCAGCCTCTACCTGTTACAATCCTTGTGGAAAGAATAGGCGCTAAGCCAAAGCAAACCGCACTTGACAGTAGCGCACGAGCAGCAGGTAGCAGGTAGGCGAATCCAAAGCGAATCTCTCACGTACATGGGTGCTGGCTCCCTGCTGCTGCTTTTCATTTGAGAGATCTGAGACCCTCTCAGACCCTGCCCTGTGCATTGTTCCCGTGCATTTCCTGATTTTTAATTAGCCAAATAGAAGCGAACAATGCCAACAAGTTGTACAAATTGTTAATGCCCGAGAAGCGAGAAGGATACGTGCCTGGCATTTGTACCCTCTCATGTGTCCAGCCATGTCGTACAAAATACTCTCACACTCGCCGCCAGGAGACAGGAAATTAATTCAATGTCCAACGTTTTGTGGGTTCCATGAACTCCACTCCACACACAAGAAAATTGCCTGAAAGTGAAGTGAAAAGCCACCAGGGTGGAGTGGGGTGCAGTGGAAACCGAAAACCGCTTTGGGACATCACATCGGGAAATTTTTCCACCGCGTCATTTATTATGACAAGACGACGAGCTTCTGTCAGCGCCGGGAGCTGGGAGCTTCATTTGAATACGAGACTGGACTGGACTTGACTTTGCGTTTTTTTTTTGTTTTTTTTTTGCTGCTGAAAATGTGTAATTTTTTTCTGCGTGTATTTTTTTTCCCTTGAAATTTGTGTGTACTAATTTGCGTTAATTAGCCAAAGATCTCAGCTGCGAGAGAACTTCTGTCATGAGAATGAGTAATGGCGATGGGAACGACAGAAATTCTAAGAGAAACCATTCAATAGTAACCAAAATGTAGCAACAGAATGAAATATGAGCGAGGGGATTAGAGCCAAAAAAAAAGGGATAAGCATTTGAAGGTATTCCTAATGGATCTACTGGGAAAACTTTAATGCGTACAATCTCCTAAAGACTAATCAAAATAATCACGACTAACCATGTGAACTTGTTATCCATCGAATATGGGCATTTAAAAAACAATGGAAATGGGTTTTCTCAACGGAGATATCCATCAGGGATGCCATCATAAACCAATCCAAAGCTAATTCAAATTTCCAACTTTATGTCATTTATAATCATTTTAAAATAACGAAACTCTCGGACTAATTAAGAGAGGCAAGCCACTGATGACTGATGAAAATTTACATATAAAATTGTTATGCATTTTTCGTAAATAGTTGGGAAGGTCTTTTGTCCGATTTTGTGTGTGGCCCCCTTGAGGGCTTCAACATGCCATGAAATATTTGCATAAAAATGTTGTAAAATTAATTGTTGTTCAGTTGCAGATTTTTCCGCAGACACATAAAGAACCGGACAATGACAATGGGCATTACGAGGATTTGCATTATAATCGCCACAAGATGATCTCCGTAGGGGGAAACGGAAATGAGTTGCCAAGTGCCACAACGGTTCCCTTGTGGCAGCACCAGACGACTCTCGGGGTTCAATCAACTCTACGCTGCGAGATTTGATTTGATTGAAAAATCGATTGGTGATTTAGTGAAAATTCTAGACTTTCGCCAAAACGAAAAAGAAAACTAAATAAACCAGATCAGAATCAGCAGCAAACAAGTTGATCGATCCACACACTTTCTACAGGAAGAGTGCTGCGTATTGAACCACATAGATAATCCCAATCGAAAACTGGGTTGAATTCGATTGATCTGCAAAAAGAACTTACCTTGAGAGCGGATGAGAGAGAGAGTTTTATATCCAAATAGGTTCACGCTGTATGGTATGGTATGGTGTGTAATCCCAAGATTTTTAGTGCCGCCTCTGACTTTGATGGATGGCTCGAAGAATAAAAAAAGCGCAGAAGAACAAGTCCACAAACACAAGGCCGTCGTCTCCTCTAACTTCTTGTTGTTGTTGCTTCGCTTTTTATGGCCCTTCGGTTTGCATTAAGTTATCAACGAGCGCACTTCACTTTGTTTTACATACACGCCGCATTTTTATGCGTAGCCATAGCCAAAGGTGCGTACGTGCCGCATGGGGTACGCAGGGGAGCCGCGACACTTGAGCAACCGCACAGATGTACAGGAAACAGGTGCAGTGATTTCTCGATATGCCCTTTTAGTCACAGTTTTGATTAGCAGTATTCTTTGATCACTTTTTTTGTCCCCCAAATATTCGTTTTCGTTACACTTTCAGTTTCGCGTGCAGTTTTGATAAGCTTCTGATGTACCGTTAAAGCAGTGCAGCGACACCGACAATGACAAGAACGTAGGCAAGCGGCGACGAAAGAAAAAACGAACCGCACTCGGCAATGTTTTGAAGCGATTTGAGCGTTAGCGCTAGCGGCAGCGAGGTCTAACCTGTTTCAGACTCAGCAAGCAAGCATGAGAACGGAAGGTCTATTGTAGAGAGGTGAGGTTATATGATATGCACGCTTGAAGCGAGAGTAGACCTTACTTCACATGCACATACTCTGCATTCAGCCATGCTGTGAGCGGAAGCATGTGGAAGAGCGAGAGGCAGATCGAGCTAACTCAAAGGGCTCGCTCTCTCTGCTTTAGCCAGACATGGTACTGCTCGCTCTCGCTCTCTCTGCTTTAGTGCTCTCTCTCTCGTGCTAGCTGCCAGACTTACTCTCTCTCAAGCGTAGGTGTGCAGTCGCTCTCTTCGTACATGTGTGTGGGTTGTCACGCATGCGCTCAATGTTTGAAGTATTGCGGTGCCTGCTCTCCGTACAGTGGGCGTTCTGGGGAGATTGTATGAAGGAAAACTTGTTTCCCATTCGATTTTGACCGGCATGTGGGCTTTGCTTTCCACACAGGAAAATTGGTTACCGAGGATGGGCTAGCGAGAACAACCAGCCAGACGCAGTTGAGTGACGCCGGATGGGCTTGGATGGTGCCCAAAGTTGAAAGGGCGAGGCAGACAGAGAGTTCGAGAACACAGAGACAGGGGTAAAACTACGTTGATTAAGTGAAACGAAGCCTAAATGAAAAATCAAAATTAGCTGACAGTATTTTATGACACTGTACATAGCCATACATATATGTATGTTTCATAAATTCTCTCTTTTATTTATAAATTAAAATATAAGCAACAAGCAGATACCATAAACCATACGACGAAGTCATTGAAAAAGGCCCCCTAAAGACATACCAAAACCAAAAGAAACATTAAAAAAATATATATAAAATTACTTGAAGGTAAATGAAATAACTTGGGCCTCCCATAAATTTCCACCTTAGACTTTAAAAACAAATTAATAAACACCACATACGAGTACGCGTATGCTTCAGCCCAAGCTACCAACAAAAAATTACCATAATTCATAGCTAGAACTTACTTCAAAAATTTATGATGAGCACGTTTCTGGCCATTTATGGGTTAAAGACTCTTACGGCAGCTCGTAACTTGGACTTGCTATTAAAAGCAAATGTAATAAACCCCTGAACTTTGGCCACATATGTACTCGTACATACACTCGTAGCACACACAAAAGCCAACGAAGCGAAAAGAAAGTCAAAAAGTCAAACGTAATTTTCAAAATCCAACCCAGACATTGTCATAATTTTCCCCTCTCTCTCTCTCTTGCCGCTTTTCGTCTGCCATGATTTATTTAGCTAAAATAAAACAAAACAACAAAAAAGACCTAAATTAATTATGACAGAGTCACAGAGTCCAAAAAAAAAAAAAATTATTAATGAAAGTGAAATTATCATCAACGAACCAGAAACCCCCACAACAACAACAAAAACAAGATAAAACCGAAACTTTTTTTTGGTTTCGATAATTTGCGAATTATAAGGAAATGGCAAAAACGAATGATGGGCCAAAGTCTCAGCTTCATTAGATCTTTGATAGATGGAGATGACGGATGAATGGCGCTGACGGATGGATGGATGCATAGATTCGAAAAGTTGTGAAAAACTTTGTGCGAAAAATGCGGAACCAATTCGGTTCGCTGCTGGCCTACGATTGAGATTGATTTAATTAGCCTGAAACACGGCATGGTAGATGTTAGATGATGGAAGCTTATGCAACTAGCTCAGGGTATGGCAATTAAGAATTCATGAATCAGGCCCTAATTAGGAGGGGAGTCGAACAAGAAGAACTATGGCATGAAATGCTAATCGAAGAATAACGATGCTTGGCTACCCTTGAAACTAGGGAGTAGATCAGTACGTGCTCAGATCAACCTACAAGTACTTTAAGATCGATACAGATAAATGCAGAAATCTTCTATACAAATTTTCATTCACTTATTTCCACTGAGAACTCAGTTCTAATGGACAGTAACACTTACAAAAAGCAGTAAATCAATTTCATCTTTCAATATGAAGCAGCTATAGGAAGTATAGAAATTCAATGGGGGTCCAGTCCGAGCTGAGATCTTCACCCCTTCCAGGGTATACAAAATTATAACTTGTAGTTGCCGTCGCAGTCGCAGTTGGAAGCAACATATTAGCATTGGCATTCCTTTGTCAAACAGTTAAATATTTGTATAGAATGGGTGTGGAAATGAAAATGCTATCATAGCACGCTTTTCACATGAGCGTGTGAAAAGTACACAGAACCCAGCAGCAGCAGCTAGGGGGCTGGCTTGCAAGTACGGGACTACGACTCCTCACGGGCGGGTGCTCTCTTTCTCTCTCTCCCCCCTAAAGCGGGGGGTGTTATGTTACCTCGAGATGCGAGCTGTAGACGAAAGCATGCTCCAGTTACAGAACTTTATTCTTTATATATATATATATATCCTATGTATATCTGTGGAAGTATATACATATATATGTGTACTGCTGTATATCATGTTGTAATTGCCGACTCAGCTTTCGACGGCTGCAAGTTAATGGCCAACGACCGTTCGTTCCGTTGGTCAGCAGCTGCCGCAGCCAAAACAGACGTGCTCCAATTGTAAACAAAATTGTTGGGGCACTCTGTATATGTATATGTATCTGTATAAAGAGGTGCACTTGCCACAGACTCTGCTTCTGCTTCTGCTGCTCTGCTGCCTCTTGTCATCTTGCATCTGCCGCTGCTGCTCTCCGTATGGCAGCGGCGTCTGTCAATTGGGATGCGATGCGATGCCGACTTCCCCTCGCCAAATACTCGTACCTTGTTTTTTTGCGTGCTCTGCACATTTCCTATAAATAGTAGCTGTAAATCATACAAACAAAAAAAAACACACACAAAATATGAGAAAAAAAATCGAAGAAGCAGCAGCAGAAGACTTGAACTACAATTGAGGCAATCAATCAAGTGGCCGGCACTCTCAGATACAACAACAACAACCAACAGTAATAATTCTATCCACATTTTGAGGGACCGGCCCCCTGTTCTGCTCTGGCAAGTGGCATGCCTCTTAGAGCTGCTTTAGATGCATTAGATATGAATAAGTGGTATTAGAGATGATTGCTAGATGATTGTGCAATCCACTCTGGGGGAGTGCGCTCTCCGCTAAACGATCATCTAGCAAGCATATCGATTTATGGCCCCCTGAACAGCACTTGACCTTATCCGAGGATCAGCAAAAACCATGAACCAGGTGGCAGCTGATATCGTATGACCGCTGGCTATACTATACTCCTTCTCCTTATGCGATGGTGCCGTATCCATGTCATAAACAAGGACTTCCGATTGCGGCGTCTGCTCAGGTGGCAACGTGCCACGAGCTGCAGCCCCCAACCCCTGCCTTATTAAAGACAAAACCAAAAAAAAAAAAAACGAAACAAACTTTAAGCAAAACTTTTACAGCAGCTGATTGGTAACAGGTGGCAGATCAGCTCAGATCAGAGCAGAACAGACCAGAAGGGAGACAACAACGTCTTGGGGCATATCCGCTGTCATCCGCTGTCGTCAGGTGGTGGTCAGGGCCCCTTTTTTTTGTTGTTGTTGGCCAGGTCAAGCGGAAAGGCGTTTAAAGGCTCCAAACAAACATCACTTGGCCTTCATAACTCATCGACGGGAGTCGAGCCCCAGCTTTGGGCTTCTTTGCGTGGCATCGGCAAATGTTTTACTGCGAATTTGGAATTTGCATTCAATGCTTTTTTGGCGCTGGTTTATGCTTTCATTTCATACAATTTCCATAGAATTTATTTATTTTGGTTTTTGTGTGGTGTCGAAAATTAATTTGATTTATACCGAATTTTGTGCTGCCAAGAATTATGAAAAATATAAGCGATTTTTTGGAGCTTATATTTGAAGAGATTAGGGATTTTAAAGTGCAACTTAAATTGAAATTAATGAGTGGTGAAGTTTAATACATTTTGAAAGATACTTTAGCAGATATTTAAGCAGATATTTCAGCATAAATTTAGCTCGATGTGTCCTACCGTTTAGCGACTTTTACGTCTGCAGAAATACGAGTATCACCTAAATCTTTTCGTTATTTATTATTCCTCTTTCAGTTATTCCCTAGAAATAAAATATCGCTTTGTCCAGACTATTTGGAAGTTGCCTCATCCCCTCCAGAGGAGATGTGCAACGTTATTTTTATTTCTATTTTTATTTTGCTTCGTTCTGCGCTTTATCTCATATTTTAAGCAATTCTGAATTTGGTTTGTCTTTTCGGTTGTTTTATTCGCCGTCTGTCGGAGCGGTTTTCATAATTAAAATGATATATTAATGCTGGATGATTTATTGTGCGAAACGTTTTCGTTTTCATTTTTTTTTTTTTTTGTTGGTCGGTTTTCGCCAGTTAATTATGAGGCTGTTGATGTTCGGGCCAAGAACGCTTTTAATAATGCCTTTAAAAATGCGCTGCTCATGGCGCAAATTTCACTTTCAGCGTTGAGCTAATGTTTGCTTAGCACTCGGTTAACTTTCAATTTTCAATCGCACACACAACGACTGCTGCAAGCACTTGTATCTCACGGATTGCAGGCAATAAATCAACATTAAATATCGCTCAGGCACAACAAATTGTCGCGACATTCGTTACAGCAGTAAAATGGAAGTTTTTTTAAGCCTTTTCTTCCCGCAAAGATACTTTTAGATGTAGGGAAGAGATACTTTTGGATGCATGTTCTCATTGAGGCAATCTAAAATATTTCAGATCTCTCTCTCTGTCTCTTTCTATCGCTTTTTATTTTATTGCAAAATTGTATTTATTTTCCATTTTCCATTTGATTTCGATTGAAGCCACAAATGAGCCTCAATTTAAAAACCGATTTGTGCCTCCAATTATGTTAATTCCCCATTTATGAGTTGATGTTGGGAAATCTGTATCTTTAGCGGTAATTCGATTACCACATGAGATACTTTGGGGTCCAGTTATCATCGATATTCAATGGGTGATATGTGTGTCAATCCAGCGGTGGAGCCTCCCGCTGACCATAAATAGTATCATTTACAAGTCATTTACACTACCCAACAAGCACACATATTTCCATTTCCATTTGCATTTGCATTTCCATTCCAGAATGCATGCCATGCCGCATATTAATGTCTTAATAATAATATTTTTGGTAGAATCGCAGGGGGGCTCCTTCTTTGGGGAGGCACGTGGTGTAGAAAACTTTGAAACTCTACCAGAACTCTGCAAACTAACAAAACTTTTCAAATATTCGTAAAGTTATTTGTTTTGGGTGCAGCTACGAAACTGGAGTCCACTGGTGAGGGCGGGGTGCCTACAAATCTCATAAATGTTTTATAATGCACAAGCCTTAAGCTCTAGGAACTTTTCAAATCATATTAAGGCCCCAAAAACAATGTGCCAAAAGTGTATTTCTCATACCATTTGAAAGCATGGAAATGTATCAGTTTGGGGGAGTTGTACAACCGATTGGCCATCGTGTATATAAGACCGAGAATAATTTGCCAGAACAGATCTATACTAAATGCTTTTTGACATTTTAAAATCTGTGTGACAGCCTTGCCCCAAGGGCAGAGTCCAGCCATGCAGGTGTCGATGTGGAAACATAAGCTGTTGGCTATTTGTAAGTAATTCCTGCCTTTAAATAGATACCTTCTGGAATATATAACTGAGTCTCTGGCCAGTCATCTGGCTGGTGGCAGCTGTCCAGCTTAACTCCGGCAATCCAACCGTGAAAAAGGACAGCGCTGTGTTTACCAAATGGCCAGCTCCAAGTGTTTAAAAGTTTGACCTGTCTTCTTCCAAATAAATACTATGAGCAAGGGAGCTGTCCTATAACTACGATTATATTATATAGATATATTTTGCATAGCTTTAAAATCTATTTAAATATTGAAAAATAAACCAACTTTCATTCCGTTTATCGAAGTAAAAGTTTATAAATCCATGCAAAAATGCTCAAAAAATATAAGCCTACATGTAACATGGAAACTACATGTAAATCCCTCCCAAGGAGCAACTCTACCATAGCTGAGCATAGTGCTAGGATTTCTAAACAGAACAGTATCCTACGGAGTTCTGTTAAAGTAAAGCCTAAAATTATTATTTAGCTTGAAAGATTTAAATGGAATTAAAATTGTCTACGCACAGCCCTCTATATTATTTATTTTCGTAGCTATCTTTTGTTGTTGGCCAACCTCTTCCGACTAGGGACAGTCGTCAATACAGCCATCCTCCATGATATCTGGACGAGTAGTATATGGGGGATAAGGATAGGGATTACCATGGGGAGGAAAGATTGAAGGTCGATAAGGAGGCGGTGGTGGCGGTGGCGGCGGTGGTGGAGGTGGTGGAGGCGGCAGCGGAGGCAGTGCCGGCAGAAGCTCTGCAGGATGGTCTTCTTCTGGTGGTTGATGTCCACAGTCTAGAATTGGTTTGATATGCACCGGTATGAATGCTGTGACCTTTACATAGTGCACAGAATGCCCTCCACTGGCATCATGTTCATCGTCCGCTGGACAGAGATCCATTTGTGGATCCAAATGTGGATCCTCAGGCCTGTGACCAACTTCATGTGTACTCTTTGCCTTGTCCATATAGAGTCCCATGATCCCGCCGTTGATTTGCAGTTCGCCATTCGGTCCAGGCTGTATCACCGTAAGACGCGGCTGTAGCTGAGAGCTGTCGCTGCAATGATCATCATCGAAATCCTTTTTTTTCTTAGCTGGAAGGCCAGAGATCAGCTGGATGCCTGCCACCAGCCAGAGGCCTAGCCAGAGATTCGGTTATGTATTCCAGGAAGTATTCTAAGCGTGAGCTTTGATCTACTTACAGATCCCCAAGCGTAGTATTTGTCTCCGCATCGAACACATCTTAGATGGACTGCACTTGGAGGAAGACTTGGCGGGGGTTTTATAATGAAAAAAGCATGGAATTAGCATTGGTTCTGCTGGCTTAAGTAATTTATTATTTATACTTGGTCTTATATAATAGATTAGGAAATGGGTTGCAAAAATGCGGAAAAGTTTCGAACATGTAATGAGAAAATCTTTTCTGTATGCAAATGCAACTGAGCTCCAAAAAAATATGTTGATATAGCCACAGGTATAGGGTTTAAGCTTCCAACTACATTTATTCCTATCAATTTCTATACCCGTACTTCTAGGAACATCACTGTAAGTTCCATAGCTCAACTTCCCTTTGTACTTTGATTTTCATTCCAGAAAGAAGAGAGCTAAGGAAACCTCTAGAAAGAGTCACCTCTTTTCATGTACTCGACTCTCAGCAGACTGTTGTGTATTTCTCTCCGTCCAATCAAAGTGTCTTAGAACTTTCCCTACACTCTGTGGAAATTGTAACGATCAATAAAGTGGTTTTTATGACTTTCGATGCTGTGATGTGTTGTAAATTGATTTTATAGCGCCAACTGTCCATTAAGGGGCCGTGGCCATGGCCATGGCTATGGCTATGAAAGTGCGTTATAAAGTGTCGATGGAGCAAAGTGCAGCTCGCATTTGATGTATGAAAACTGCTCCAGCAATATGCACTGGTCGCTGCTGCTCATTGGAGTAATGGGTGAGTCTCGGCCCTCTTTAGGGAAGATTTATAAACTAAATATATTCTTGCAATTCCACCATCTTTTTTTGCAGCTGTGCTTCTCAGTTTGATTGGAAATGAAGTCTGGGTGTCTGGTGCCGAGCAGACTACTTTCTTTCCTTGGGAAAAGACTCCGTCAACAAAGCACAAGAAGCCGTACAGGATATCTGGCGATATTTAAAGCTATGTGGAAGGGTTTTTCTTGGGTTGATATGAATAATATTACGAGTATATTGTGTTTGTTTTTAAAAAAAAATCAATAATTAAATCCCAAACTTATACAAAAAATGAAAAATGAAAAATGTTAGGAATGAAATTTTATTGAAATTAATTTAAATCCTTCATTGAATAAATATTATAATAGCTGCATCTGATTTGCCTTCTATGAGAATTACATCGAACGGTAGTAAAATACACTCCTGACACAAAGAGAACGAAAGTAAGAGAGTGAAAGATCAAACTGGGAGCAACTATGCCGCAGAGACCCAGAAAAAGATAATTTCTGTTATCTGTTCGCTCTTTCCAATGGAATGCCCTGCACCTATTACGAATATATAATATAGCAGGAAATAATCATTCCTTGAGTATAGTTTTTGCTTCCCTTGAAGTACCTTAAAGTACCTTGGTTTCAACCATTTCCAACCCGCATTTAAATTAATTATTTCGCTATCGATATTCCATAAAATAAACACTTAAATATTGATTATATCAGAGTGCATGTCTGGTCATAAAACTAATTTGATTATTGCCTACAATCGCACCATGCCACTGGCTAGTGCCTATAAAAGCTTGCCTCCAGGCAGCCACAACTTCATTCAGAAGGAAAATGAAACTCCTTACGGTCTTCGCCTTTGTATGTGGTAAAGTATCAATTTGATTCGATCAAACGTTTCATTAACTAAAAATAGCCACCGTCTTTCTGATAGTTGGAACCTTTGCGGTGCTGCACAGCGTCTATGGCGCACCTGCCCCATCGCCTGCACCGGAACCAGAGCCGAATCCTGTGGCAGATCCTGTGGCAGATCCCAAGCCCAAGGCGGAGCCAAGTCCAGAGCCGCACGCAGAGCCTTCCCCCATGCCTGTTGCATCGCCAATGATGCCACAGCCACAGCCCATGCTGCTGTCTGAGAAATCGGATGGCAATTTCGTTGCACTCTCTGCCAGCCCGGATCCAGAACCAGCCCCAGCCCCAGCTCCAGCTCCAGTCCCATCCCCAATTGCAGCCCCATCTCCAGTTGCAGCCCCGGTGGCAGCTCCAGTGCCAGTGGCTTTGGAACCTCTGGGCTATCAGGGCAGTCTGGATGATATGGCACCCGATGGCATTGCCGAGGCAATGCCAGTCTAAGGGATCCAAGCAGCAGCAGCTTTAAAATCTAAATCTTAACGAGGCCTGCACACACACACACACACACACATAAATGCACGCACACACGTATATATATACACATTATATATATGTATGTATGAATGTCTTCTCTATCGGAACTTAATGTATTACAAGAGCACTTTATGTATTGAATGTATCCCCCCAGAGCAAGAGCAGTTATAAAATTGCAAAGAAAAATAAGTTGAAGTTTCATTACTATATTTTTAGGTTCAAACAAAGGTTATTAATGATATAGATAGAAAGATTCTAGTGGAAAATTCTCCTTAGGTATTTATTAGGAATATTAGGAATAGCATTAAACCATAATTAGCTCATTTTTTGGCATGATCTTGCCTATTTAATCACCAACTATGAGAGAATTCTGCACTGTACGGTAGGTAGGATCTTCTTTAGAAATTTTTACTAGAATTCGATTTGCAGTATCAATTTGCACATATTTTTCAAAGCCTTTTCGTCACTTTCTCTGCTTCTTTACTGGAAAAATTTATTCATTTAATATAATTTAATTTTAAAAAAAAATTAAATACTGTAGCAGATCAACCTTTAATTTGAACAATATTAGTTTTAGAAAGATACCATCTCTTTAACTTAGGTTATAGGTTTTATTATGTACCCCTCCCATCTGCATTGCATGCAATTTTTTCTTATTTAAATATAATGCTTACCAAATTAACATCCACCCATTGAGTAGGCTTAAAAAAAAGCAAAAACAAAAAAAAATAAAAACTCAGACCAATCTCAGAGCGAAAAATCAAGTGAAATATTTGCTACTCAAATCCATTTCCGATATCAACTTCCACATCAACTGATTACTGGGGCACGGCAGTCACATGCGACATCGACACCAGACGGCAGACCAAGCGACATAGAGACCAAAAGACCAACAGACCAGACCAACCACCGACCGGATTTGAATGAAAAAATGCCAAAGACTGAAAGACAGAGAGAGACACAGAGAGAGAGGGAGAGAAAAAATCACTTACAAAGAGGAAGCGACAGCTACAACAAGTTTTATCAATGAACTTAGTGTAAGGTTGATGACAAAAAGCCACAAAAGGCAATGAAGGAAGGGCCAATCGAGAGGGAATGGGATGGGAATGGACAACATAAAACCACACGAGAAAGATTCATTGATCAGTGGGTCTGGCACTGGCTCTAGCTTTGGCGCTGTGTCTGTGGGCACTAGATGGGGTTCATCCGTTCGCAGGGCATCATTACAGAGTTTATTCATTGTCTGTGCGCATATAAATCGGTTTATTTATTTATATTTCCCCTTCTTCATCCGCTGTCGATCGTTAAGCTTATCCCCCCACCCTTACCAGAGCCTGCCTGCTTGCGTTCTCAATCGAGATATCAATTTACATGTTAACACATCGTGAGTGTTTGAATGACGGACAAATTGGCAAAGGCCGAGCTATGAATGAAACGAACCACCTCCTCCATTGATAGGCCAAGAGCCGGTTTTAAGCCACATGGGAAAGGGTAGAGTCAATGGTTTGCCAAAACATATAATGGAATCTTCAAAAAACGGTAGCAAGTCAATGAGGTTAGGCCTTTCCAAATAGCCTAGATATTATAATTTACAGTGGGTTGGAATTTGGTTGGGGCTCTTTGGCAAGTAAATCAAAAGGAAATTTGTATAAGAATTTTTTTGTACCAAGATTAAGGGCAAATAACTTTGAGGATACCAGAATTAACTTTTCTAATTAAATTTAAAGATATCATTGATGGTTGCTAGTTACATAGAGCCTTTTGGAATACAACTCTTCCGGATCTCTCAGTAAAAATATTTATTCGTACTATCCATCATCTTAAGCAGTAATAAATCCTTTAAGTGATATTCTTAATCAAATTCTAAGCTTGAAACTTAAGAATAGGTCATCAGAATACACTCCCCCTTAAACTTCATTCTTTATTCATCATCATATAAATAAATCTAAGAAGAAACAAGCCATCCTATTTATAATCTTCTTCTGATTGAAGTTCCTCCGCTTGAAGTTCTCCATAAAACATATTCTTTATATCATCGTTTACATATTCACAACGTATTCTACGTTATTTAGGATATTTATGGAGCTGCCCCGATCTTAAGTTGTAATTCCTATGATGGGCAAATTGATGTGTTTGTGAAAATCATACCATTTACGATTCTTGGCAACCAACAAAAAGGCAAAACCCACAAAAACTTGAAAGAAAGTTTAAGTAAAATTTAAAAAAGTAACAAAAATATATATTTTAGTACCTACACATAAATGGTACAAGCTTCATCTAAGCAAAAATGTCATCTAAATGGAAAATAATTTACAAATAAAAGAACCGCCACAAAAACATCAACTAATTAGTCACACTAATTTAAATGTGTAAAATTCTATGCATGTTTAGCAATTTTCAAGGGTTCTTTTTCCATACGTGACGTGACACCAATCCATCATCAATAATGCCCTGATCCATAAACCTCAATTGAGTGGCCAAAAGAGCCACTAATTAGAGCTAAAGCATCATAGCACTAATTACATCATAAATAACCGCAAAATTCATAAAATAAAATCACAATGATTGGGGAAAGAAAAACAGCAAATAATACAATTAAATCGATATAAATTATAAATGATATTCAATCATTTTTACACAAAACTATGTGCTAAAAAAAACAAAAAAAATAACATCAAAAGCGGCATAATTAAAACAAATACAAAAGCTACTTAATTAAATTAGCAACCGAAAACACAGCAACAAAAAAAAGTAAAGTAAAAAACAAAAGAGAGAAAAAAATATATTGGTAATGAAGGGGAGGGGAAACTGACGAATCGAAGAGCAATGGTGCGTAGCAAGGGGGAGGCTATAATGGGGAGGTTCGGTGGTGGGGCCCCAAAAGGCAGCTGCAGCACATTAATTTATAATTATTTATGCTACCATCAAAGGGTTAATCAGAACAAGTGGCACACCAAAGGCACCAAGAAAGAGAGAGAGGAGGAAATGTACAAGAAAGTGAGCTAATGAATACTCTATAACAGATAGATACTGGGCAGAACAAAGATACTCTACAATGGATGGATAGGTAGATATGAATATACGAGAAGCGCAGCGGATCCATTAGATATTATAATCTATGAGTAAAGGCACAACAAAATAAATATGAGCTCTTTATATTCCATAAAATATTGTTAATTTCTGATCAAATTATCTTACGTTCGTTATAACTCTTCATTCAGTTTAAGCCAAACAAAAAAAGAGTATGGCAATCTCATGTGGTGCACATCTGAGAAACAGAAGCACAAAATGCGAGTAAATTTTGTGGTCTGCTGACTTTTTTTTCATTATTACTTTTTGAGAGAAACAAATTTGAAATTAATTTCCACAACTGTGCGGGTCCCGTACAGAGAGAGTGTTGGGGGGGGGGGGCCCATTGTGGGTGTGTGGCAAGCGGTGGGGTGCACACAGTTGATTGTTGCATAAACCCATCAACCATCCATCGACTCCGAGACACTTGCCAGTCGCGCTGCCTCATTAGAGCTAATCGAACTGAATGCTTTAATCAAAGTGGGGTTTGATTGCAAATCAATTTCCACTCACACTTTCAGGTTTTCAGTTTTCACTTTCAATTCAATGCGATGGAAAGCACAAAAACACAAATACGGGCGTATGGATGGAGAGACCGCAGAAAATGGCCAAAACAGCAAGTGAAGAAAATTAATGTGGAGAAATTAGCAAAACGTGAAGCAGAAAACCGCAAAAGAAGAGGCGGCCCACAACCACAGGCCGGTGACAGGCGTGGGAGAGTAGAGAGAAAGAGAGAGAGATCTAAGGAGAATTGACAGACGATTCGAGCAGAGCAGATGCTCAATCCCAAGAGTCAAGTCAAAGATTGACGTCAGCACCAAAACAATGACCAGGCAGGCAAATGCATAGGGGTAGGTGTAGGGGGGTCTCTAACAAATGTCTGTGCCACAGGACTCGTGCCTTATCGGAATGTTACGCTCGCGTGATTTGTGTGATTTGAGATTGTTTAAACAATTAAAGCATTGGCCATGGCTCGGTTCGGTTCGGACCAACTCAAGCAGAAGTAAGCCAAGCCCTCTCCACGCACCAAAACAGTTTGAGGACTTACATTACGTGACCTGGAACCTCAAATCGGGCACACAATTAACTGATTAGCTAACTGTACGCAGACAATTGTCGGTTCTTTGGGCCAAAAGCATCAGAAAATAAGTTAATTAATTGAATAGAAAATCTGTAAGAGACAAACCAACATTGGCAGAGCTTTGAGTGTTTATATGAAGAAATTTATGGAAGTAGCAGAGTATGTAGTAGAGGGTTAAGCAAAAGAGTCCCGTTTCCCGTTTTATGCAGAGAGCGAAGGTGTCACAATCTCAGCTTTGATTTGTTGTTGTTGCTGAGAGACAGATAAAAGGCATTGCTAAGAGAGCAATTGAGCATGGCAGCAATTGAGAGAGCAGGTAGGGCGTGAGAGCAGCAAAGCTCGTCGATGAAATGAAGATCAAGAGATACGACAATTGCCAGTGCACTGCGCTCGTAGGAGCAAATACAACAAAAATGTGAAGAACATGAAAAGACGTTTTCATCTCTGACAAATACAAATACAAGCCAGGGCCAACTCATTATGAACTCTTATATTCTTTACTCTATACTCCATTTCTGAAAAGACAGCACTCCCCTTCTATCCCTGCCTACCTTCATAATTGACTCTATAAGCGGATTAATAAAATACATTTCAATTGGTTATAACCAATTAGCCTTTTGAAAGCGTGAAAGTGTTAAAATTCTCAATAAAAATATGCCCATAATCGGCTTCAATTATTTAATATTCCATTCAATTTAATAAATACACATTTTCCGCGAAAGAAATTTGATTAAAATATAATTCAGTTTTAAAAGCTGTCTGTTGGATTTTTAATCAATATTTTATGGAGAATTTTTGTTTGTTGTACTAAAAGAGCGATTCGAAGCACTTTAATCCCACATTATGGTTATTTATTGTGGGGAAAATTATCAACAATTATAATATAATCAGCCACATCCGAAAAACATTATAAAAAAAGACTGAAGCTTTTGTTTGATTTTTGTTGAATTTTTTTGTGCATGTGTGTGTGTGGCGGCGGTTGATGAAAAAGATCTCCCACTGTGTGTTGCGTGTTTCGGATTTTGGCCACCGCACAGCACAAATAGCTGGGGCGGAAATCAATCAATGATTGATAAGCATCGACCAAATGACAAATTAATTGATTGCAAAATGAATGAGAGAGAATGAATTGAATTGATTATTAAGTAAAGCTCTTGGGGGTTAGATAGCCGACTGTGTGTGGTCTAAAGGATTGGCAAAGGACATCATCAAATTAATGAATTGCCAGGCCGTGGCCTTTATGGGTTTAAGCCAGTTTCTATGTGTGGTTTAGGCCCCTAGTCTGTGTGTGGACTTAATCAATTAATTAAAACCAAATCTTATCCGTTTCACTTACCAACGACCGTCTATGACTCCCTAAGGCCTACCTGAAGGCCTGCCTACAAGCGAACACCTGGCCATTACCCATTGCCAATGCCTCCTTGATGGCCAACACTTCACTGCTGAGTGGCCAGCACTCACACTGAAGCGGCAGCGGGCTCTCACCTTCCACAAATGACTTTTGTATCGAATAAAAATTAAATCGCATTCGTTGCGCCGCAGGACAGGAAACGGAAACGAACGACAATCGAAGTCATTGGGCAGCGGTGCATTGTCCATGGCAGCTCCTGCGGTGTCTTTGTGCCGCCAAAAATCTTCTTGAATGAACCCAAAAAAATTGCCATTCATTCATTGTTTATTTGAAAATACTTCCAATGCTTCAAGCTGAGTCAAGTGTGAGTCCAAGGCGCATCGACTGACAGCTGGTTTTTGGCAGAGGTTTGGAAGAGATTTAGAAAAGTAATCTTCAAGTTTTACGAATGTACAAATCATAAAACAAAACATTCTTCAAGCGCATAAATACACAAAAGTGGAAATCAGTTTACATGCCAAACAATTTATTTTCTGCCAAAGTTTAATTGTCGTTTGGGGATTGGGTTTCGTTACCCAAAAAAAAAACTCAAATAAAGAAAGAAAGAAAACAAAGGTAAAGAAAAACATAATTTAGGCAAAAACATTTGTGTGTGCAATGAATTTGATGTGCTCTTGAAAAGTACAATAAATAAATGAGTTTTTCATTACTTTTTGCAGTCATTCCTTAAAGGAGCAACTTTTTCCCCATGTTTACAGGAAGTTTTCCACACTGAGATCCGACTATGCAAATTTCCCACCCCTTTTCCTTGCCTTTGTCGATTATTATGATTCATGTGCATGAATGGATGGAGCTTTAATATTTGCCAGTTCAACAACAAATAAATACACAACAAACACAATGTGCTGTTTGCTTAGCTGCACGAATCGCTGATAAAATGCGTCTAATTTGAAGCATTGGGGAAAGGTTTCTGTGTCACCCTTCCTTCCACTGGACAATTATCAAGATCCAATTACAAACAAATGATTCAAAATCATAAACAATATTAAACATCCAACAGCCAACAGCCAAACAAAGACCATCATTTTGCGGCATTTGCGTTTTTGGTATCTGTATCTGTCAGATAAGACTTCCCGCACTCGACTTCCTGTGCAGCTGTCGAATTTGCCGGACAAGGGAGGGAGGGAGTGACTGATAAACAATGCTCTAGTGTATTGAAATTATCTATTAAATCTTTGTCGTGTGCTTGGCTTGCAGCTCGAAATAATTTAACAAATCTTTGCGTTCCGTTTCTGGATTGACAATCCGTATATAGCGCACAGGTCGTTCCGCAAAGTAGATATTCATCCAGCCCTCGGGCAATGGCTTGCCAACTGGCATTATCCTGCCCACACGATGCCAACGATTCCGATCGCAAGAAATCTGCACATCGTAGCAGATCTCCTGAGATTTTTGACGTTCCATAAGTCGTATACAATTTATCCTGTAACAGTGCCGCAGATCAATCAATACGTCATTGTGCATGTCATGGATACGCCGCAAGAAATATCTATCATAGGCCACATCCTTCTCTGGCCATAACGTGGCACGGCAGAGCACATATTCTGAGATTTTTTCCGGTTCTACGTAGCCGCCCGACGGACGCTCCACATAGACATCTTCTTTCCTCGTGAGTGGCAGTCCTGCCAACTTAAATAGCGAGTGAATGTTCTCTTCCGGATGGTGGCGACTCCATTCGCATACCAAAAAAAAAATGTCATCCTCAGGGGCAACGAAGGTGTCGCGGCTCAGCACTTCCGCCAGCGTTGCTTTGGACACCAGTTGGAAGGATTCCTCTCGGACTAATTCGCACGCCTTTCGGTCAATGAACTGAAAGCATTCTTCGGCTAAATCTGCCAGATTGTTGTAGCGCGCTGCATCCAGCACCATGAACACATTGTTGAGGTGCAGACTCTGTTCGAGACGTTTGTTCAGGGCCACTTCTACTTCCTCCAAGTCATATAGATGGGCCACAGCCAACACATTGACAATGGCAGCCAAGGGCAGTGTGTTAATGGAAAGTGTGCCCGTATAAATATATGACAAAATCACTTTGAAAGGCGCCAATGGCACATGCAGTCTTATCTGGCGATCCTTCGTCATGGAGCCGTAGAGAAGTACGCGAAAGAACTCACTTCGTGTAGCCAAAATCACACAGTGGGCAGGCAGTCGCTGATCCTCGACCAAGAACCAAACATCGGCATAAACCTCGCTCAGACAGCGGCGACCCATATCCTCCTTGAAGCTATCGCCCAAATGGATGTCCTCGATGTGAACCGCCTTGGGGCAGCACTGTTTCTTGCCAGAGTTCGATTTGGAGGTCATTTTTTGTGGCTTCGATTTTGGAGTATTTTTTGTGTATGTTTCGTATGTCTTTACGTTTTAATTTGAGCTTGAAAACAATGGAAAGTTGATTTAGCTTTTCCTTTTCTTCGCTAAAGCAAAAAGCAACATTCGAATCGTATTTATACAGAAATTAAAGACCTCATCCACATGACAAACAAGTTGCTGCCCCTTTTTATACTCGTACTCAAAAAGAGTTAAGGGGTATATTGTATTTGTGGTAAAAGTGGATGTGTGTAACGCAGAGAAGGAAAGATCTAGATCTCAGAGCACGAGACCACGCTACTCATTCTCTTTCTTTCTCGCACACTCTGCCTCGTTATTTACGCGAGCCCGCTGACGGAGAAGATGTAGAATCTAAATGTAGATGTACAGCCTACATTTTAGATCTAAAATCGACATGTAGATGTAGATAACAGATGCAAATAAATCTAAAATGTAAAATTTTAAAATCATAAGCTCACGTATTTTTTTACTGACTGAGCGTGACTATAAAAGTAGAGTCGCGTCCACAGAAGCGACTCACACGTTCCTTTTCGTTTTCGTTTTGTTTGAAGGAACATTTTGTTTGTGGGCGTTTGTGTCAACGGGGCTGATGGCATGGCTAAAAAAGGCTGATGATATACCAAAAAAATGTCTTGTCTGCTTGAGTATTTATTTGTATTCTTTTTTTTTTTGTGCTGGATATGGTTTGTCGTGTGCCGCAAATATAAATATTCATGTGAATTTTTATGAAATTTATTTTTGGTATAATTTCATATTTGATTACGTGACAAATTTGCAGAATGAGATGAGATACGCAAAAATGATTGTCAGAATATACGCTTGGAAAGGATTATGTAAATAAGATTAAATAAAAATGAAGGTCTCTTGGGGGTCTAAAGAGAGATGATCATATAAGCTTCAATTTACACTCTTTTATCTCTGCAAATGTGATGAGGCTTTTTCGGTTGTGTAAGCACTTTTTTTTCCAGTATACAAAAACCCACTCGAAAAACCATTTAGCATAAATATTCTTCCACATTCCATGGGCTATCCATTCCAAATGGCCTGGCAATAAAACTAATAAAATGTGTTGAGCTAACAAAATGCATCTCATAAATTACCAGACATTTCGGGAACTCAAGCAGAGATGCATCCAGCAGAAGCAGCAGCAGCAGACGAGACGATCCACAGAAAACTGAAAGTATGCATAAATCTGTCAAACGAAACGCTTTCAAGCAGTGCGACGCAGCGTCTTGGTCCATTTAAAACTCATGAAACGCGACACTTTTACCCTAAAACGGAATTCCAGTTAAGGTTCAAAGGCGAAGGCATTCATTCCCATAGCGACACGAAAACCCTTCACAAATTAGAGCAATTCAAAGCAAAGAGATCCCAACAGGTAGCCCAAGAAACAGGTAGATGATATCTGTCTACTGGATGGAATCTACAAATTGCGTCAGCAAGGCGCCCTGGTCTTGGCCCAGTTTATTACGGATTCCATATTTTAGAAAGTAGATCTAGATCTGCATTCTAGACGAACGTCTATGATTTACAATTAGGGTTACGACGGGCTGGCGTTTGGATGGGTTCCAGTGAAAAGGAAACGCTCGGAAAAAGCTTCTTCTTCAGCGGTTCGTTTTGATGAGAAATTCGACTAAAGGATGGCTAGTAAAATATTTGAAGATCCTTTTTAATGGTTTAAAATCATAGCAGGGAGCAAATACCCTTCCTAATCAGCTCTTAGAATAGTTTTTATGGTCATAAAAATCAAATATCTTTAGGTTTTACAGAAAGAATAGAAGGAAAATTGAGAAATGCAGAGATTTATCCACCTATAAATTAATAGATATAGACACACAACTTTCCCTGCTATTAAATAATGTAAAATAAAACTCTGCACTTGCTTGGGATTTATTTAAAAAAAAGGATTCCCTACAGCATATTTAACGTGCCACTCCAGTATCCATTTTATATTTCATTCGAGCCACCGCTCTTTTGCTCATTTTACCCGATTTGCGTTTGGTCTTTTTTGTGCGTATCAACTGTCCATTTACAAGGTCCACATTATCCTGCTTCGAACTGGTGCCCGAAATGGAGCGAATGTTGAACTCTGCTGGATCAGCTATACCAAATCGCCAGAGGGAAATGGTGACTTTATAAAGAAAATAAGGAGCTGTCCAACTAATCGAATATTTTGTAAGGACTTACAGCAAAAGAAGAGCCAAAAAGTGTAGTTCATTGTGGAAAATTCTGTTTCGAAATGTGGGTAAATGAATGGATTTACATTCCACTTTGTATCACCATAACGAATAAGATTTTATATTGAATTAGTTTCGTGCTAAATCAAGTATGTTATTTGAAGGTTTTTTGAAAAGTTTCTTATGACTCATAATTTTGTAGAGCAAATGACACGAAAAGGACCTTGAACGCAACTTTTTGTGGCATTTGATTTATATATTTTCAATATATTTCAGTATTTTGTTTTAGTATATTTTTATTCTTTATTCAGAGGACATAGTTCCATATATTTACGTATATTTTAAATACACTTTTGGTACATACAAAGGTTCATATGTACATATATGGTTATGTGGTATTATCCTTGTTACGACGGAACTGCCTTCTTGGCCTTATCCAATATGCCCTCTACAGTTTTTTTGATTTCCGGAACTAGTGGAATTTTATCAATTATACCAACACTGCTGCGCCAGAGACAAATGCTGCCTTTAAAATTCAATAGGTAATCAGAATATGTAGAGCTTATAGACTGTTTTGTTGTGGACTTACAGCAAACGAAGAGCAACGAAGTGTAGTTCATGGTGGAAAATTCTGTTTCAAACTGTTGGGAAATGCTTCAATTTACATTCGACTTTGGATCCCCATAACGAATGAGATTTTCTAGAATTAGTTTTTCCATAAATCAAGTATGTGATTTGAAGGTTTTTTGTAAGGTTTCTCACACTCCAAATTTTGTGGAAATGGTCTCATGAAAAGGGTCAGTTCCTTGGTTAAGGCTAAGTTCTCAAGGCTTTTACTAGGACTTTTTGTATTTTTTTTGTATACTTTTAAAGTAAATTTCGAAGTATATCTTCATATTTTTGTTGAATATATGTATATTTTCCGTATATTTCTATATATGTATGTTCAATTTTAATATTTTCATATTCCAGTAATTCAGTAGTTTCAATTGTGCCAACGAAAGACCAGAGATCGGAGCTAGCGAAGTAGATCTGTGGTCTAGTAATAATCCGGGCATACCGCAGTTGTTTTTAACCGACTAAGCCGTTAAGATCCAAGCGGATTGCATAGAATATCATTCTGCTTGACATTAAGGGACATTAGGTATTTTAACTAAGCACACCGGAATTACTCGAAGGTTAAATGGTTGTTCATGCCGGGGGCTGCATTTACTCCCTTTTTTGTAAGGAAATTCGTGATTATCTTAAATTTCTTGTCAATAGTCACACGAAATTTATTTATGATCGCCCCTTGGGTGGTATATGTCTTGGCCTTTGCCAAGACCTTTTTGATCTCATCTGCTTTTGGCGACTTTTCCGGCGCTGGTTCATCTGCCTTTGGAGACTTTGTTGGTTCTTTCTCTGCCCCGTTGCCCCATAAAACTATTCCAAATAAACATTTTATAGTTAAAGTTCCAATCAATACTTTCTTTCCATCAACGAAACTCGCGCAGAGCTGTGGTGCACACGAACAAAAGAGACCTCATCCTAGAGATGGTGATCCATAAACTGCAGAACAGCAATGGGAAGTCTCTTCCTTATGTTAAGAATTGTCTTCGGGAATTGTGCAACGCTTTGCCATTCGTTAAGATTGTCATTTACTTGGAGTTATATAACTTTTCTACATCGATTTGCAATTATTCAATGTTACTTATATATAACACGAGTATTCGATAGATGCGAAAATGGCTTTCAAATATGTAAAATTATTACCAATTTGAGCGAATTTCCAATATTGGAAACTTTTTATAACTTTTTAATCCATTTGTGACGTTTATTTTTGTGTTTTAAGGTTTTTTCTAGCATTTCTTGGAATTTTTGTAATATTCTTCTGTAGTATGTTCTGGAATTATTATACATATATTTCTGGTACATATTTTTAAATATTTCCATTAATTGGATATCATTCTAGAAATTTTTTCCAATACAAGAAATTGTTTCTCCAACTAAAATTTGATAGTTTTATAATTTAATAAAAATAAATTGTTTTAATCTATGTTATGTTATGTTTATTGTTGCAATGGAAAAGTGTGAGTAATTTAATAAAAATGGTTTCAATTTTCATTCTTAGAGGTGGGAAATTTTGCATTTATCTTCTCATTTTTGCGACCGATTTTCTTCCAAAGCGAATTCGTGACTATCTTTAATTCCCTGTCAATAGTCACACGCAAATTCTTTAGCAGACGGATGTACCTATTTGTATAGTGACGGCCCACGGCCGCGGTGAGATTCTCCTTATCGTACTCGTCCTTGTTAGGATTATTGCCTTTCAACTGAATATCCATTTTCCTTTGGATATCCCTGCACTTATCTCGCTGTTGTTCCGCCGTTTTCAGCTCCAGCGTCACCTTGTGAAAATTACGTTTCGTAAGTTCCAACGTCGTGGCTAATGTTCTGTTTTTTTCTATGCTCAATTCGTATTTTCTTCGCAATTCTGGTATCTTTATATCCAGCCTTTGGATGGCCTGCTCAGTATATTTTTGTTTGTCCTCCCAATAGTTTGTCAACAAGATCAGATCATGTGATTTTTTCGTTGTTAATCGTCCATATCTTCGTGGCCTTTGCCAAAACCATTTAGATGGTTCATCTGGTTCATCTGCCTTTCGCGATTTTTTCGGTGCTGGTTCATCTGCCTTTGGGGGAACTATCGACTCTGCTTCATCTACTTTTGGAGACTTTGTTTGTTCTTTCTCTGCCACGTTGCCCCATAAAACTATTCCAAATAAACATTGTATAGTTAAGGTTCCATCAATACTTTCTTTCTATCAACGAAACTCACGCAGAGCTGCGGTGCACACGAACAAAAGAGACCTCATCCTAAAGAAGGATATTCATAAACTGCAGAATAGCTATGGGAAGTCTCTTCCTTTTGTCATTCGTTTCGATTGACATTTACTTGGAGTTATATAACTTTTCTACATCGATTTGCAATTCTTCAAGGTTACATATGTATATATAACACAATCGCCTATTCGATAGGGGATCTGAAAATTGCGCGAAAAGAGTTCGCATTTCTTTCAAAGAAATTTGTTAACAAATTTCAGCGAATGTTTCTTTTATATTTGTCTTTTAGCTATAATTGTTTCTCCAGATAAAAGTTAGATAATTTATTGCTTTATTGCCGAGAAGCCGGCCGCGGCGGGGGCGTAAATTTATATTTATGTATTTTAAATTGATTTATACACAAATAAATTTGTTTAATCTCACTGATTATGTTTATTGTTGCAATGGAAAAGTGTGAGGAATTCAATAAAAATGGATTCAATTTTCATTCTTAGAGGTGAATAATTTTGCATTTACCTTCCCATTTTTGCGGGGGATTTTCTCCCTTAGCAAATTCCTGACTATCTTCAATTCCCTGTCAATAGTCACACGCAAATTCTTTGGCAAACGGATGACTTATTTGTATTGTCGGGGACCACGGTCGTGGGCAGATTCTATCGTTAAATATTCTTTGGATTGTTAATATTGTTAGGAATAATGCTTATTTACTGATCATCCTTGCAGCTTTCCCACTGTTCTTCAGCCCTATTCAGCTCCAGTGTCGCGTCGTACAATTTACGATTCGAAATTTCCAACATCGCGGCTAATGTCTTGTTTTCCTCCTTGCTCAATGTATATTTTCTTCGCATTTCTGGTATCTTTTTATCCAGTTTTTGGATGGCCAGCTCCATATATTTTCCTTTGTGCTCCCAATAATTTTTAATGGGTGGTACTTGAGCTGTGAATCTTCTTGCGAGTTCCCTTTGCCAAGTAGCTCTTTTTGATGAAATGTCTGGTTCATCTGCCTTTGGAGACTTTTCCGGCGCTGGTTCATCTGCTTTTCGAGACTTTGGTGGTTCTTTCTCTGCCACGTTTCCCCATAAAACTATTCCAAATAAACATTTTATAGTTAAGGTTCCATCAATACTTTCTTTCCACAACTGAAACTCACGCAGGGCTGCGGTGCACACAAACAAAAGAGACCTCATCCTAAAGAAGGTGATCCATAAACTGCAGTATAGCCATGGGAAGCCTCTACCAATCGTCTTCGGCAATTTTGTAACGCTTTGCCATTCGTTTTGATTCACATTTACTTGGAGCTAATTTTCTATTTCTTATTCAAGGTTACATATGTATATTTAACACGAGTATTCGATAGATGCTCCGAAAATAGCTTTCAAAGAAAATTATTATTAAATTTGAGCAGAAGTCTAGTATTTTTCTTCGTATTTTTTGCTATTTAAATAGTATGTACTTTTTTCTATGCATGGAGTTTTTTGTAGTTTCTGGTATTTTCTAGAATTTTGATAATTTTTGGAATGTGTAGTAGTATTTGTTGCACAGAAACAAAGGAAGACTTATTGGGGGCCTTGGGGGGGGCACGGGACCTAACGAAGTATAAGATACATTTTTCAGACATTTTCAATTGCTAAAAGCTTTTTATTTAACGTAGAACTATTGACAAAATATAATAATATTCAGGAAAACATATTATTCATTGGAGCCATTAGCGTTTCGACCGTTTCTATTAAAACCTGGATCCATACCTCCGTTGGGTTTCCAAATCGGTTTAAGAGGGACTCTAGTATACTCAGGATCAAAATCTCCAGAATTTATTTCTTCGTTGGTTTGATGTTGCGGTGAACATTCTTGTCTGGCATCCAGTATCTTCTCGTGGATATCCCCCAACTTTTTAGAGGCTATCTCCAGTGCCAACTTATTATTGGCTATCTCCTTATCTACTTTTTCCTGATCCAGTTGTATTTGCTGACTCAGTGCAACATACTTTTTAAGTTCAGGCTGCAAATTTCTGATGGCCTTCTTTGCATTGTCAATCCTTACTTTGATATCCAAGTAATCTCTAGGGTTTGAAAGGTTAATTTTCCGATCTAAATTTGACGGTTCGTCTAGAATATCATAGGGTGAAGCCGACACCATTCCCATGACCATAGCAACTAAAAAAAAAAACATATTCGATATTTTCTTAAAGTATTTCTCCGCAAAAAGATACTTACAAGCTCCCAGCAGATAAATAATACGAGTTTTCATAATAAAAGATTAGCTATTTCTTGTTCCAAAAACACTTGCCTATATATAGAAAAAACGAGAAGGAACGGGTGAGTCGCTTCTAAAGACGCAACTCTACTTATACCCGTACTCAGTCAGTATTTACATTTTTGAGCATGATTTTTTAGAATTAAAAAAAAAAAAAAAATTTTTTACATTTTACATTTTTTTTGCTACATCTGATATCTACATCTACAATGAATATTCTACATCTAACATGTAGATTCTACATGTACCATTTAGAATCTAAATTTTAAATTCTACATCTCCTCCGCTAGGGGTTGCTCGCGCACTGAACGCGGCATAGTGTGCGAGCGAGAAGGAAAATGAGTTGCGTTGTCGTTGGCAGGAGGGGGCAGGGGAAGCAACTAACAATTCATTTCTTCATTCTGGCTATAATTATGATCCGATCTGATTCAGATTGGGCAGTCTCATAGATATGGTCATTCTTTACGATACTGCGCTTTTAGTTTTATCGTATCTTTAAAAATCTGCCTGCCACAGATGTTCGTCCTTTGTGGGGGCGGAAGGGGGCGGGGTGAAATTTTGAAATACACTTGTAGCAGTGGGATATCACATGAGTCTGGAAACAAAATTTGGTTGTCTTAGCTCTTATAGTCTCTGAGATCTAGGCGCTCATCGAGGCAGATAGCCAGACAGACAGACAGACGGACAGACAGGCATGGCTATATCGACTCGGCTATTGATGCTGATCAAGAATATATATACTTTATGGTCGGAAACGTTTCCCTATCTGCGTTACACACATCCACTTTTACCACAAATCTAATATACCCCTTAACTCTTTTTTGAGTACGGGTATAAAAACCCGCTACACTTTAGTTCTACCTGACTTTTACTGTGACATATCATTTCGATAAGGTTTTTATATAATACTTACATATATAATGATGTATATATTTTTAGAACGATTTTTAAGTGTAAGTAAGATTACAACAGATTTATTAGCCGTTTAGTTCTGTTCTGCTTGACATTTAATAAAAAGTTACACACAATTTTCTGTATTGAATTTCGATTGTTTTTTTGGCGGTAGATAAATTTTCCGGAATACATATATTTAATGGCTATAAACATTTAGTTTAAAAAAACCTCTTAAATATTTTTAGGAATTTTTAGAGTTTATTTCCCAACGATTTGGGGAAGTGGTGGATCATAAGGGGATATGGGGAGTGTAGTAAGACCATTCCGTTTGTGGTCATAGCGGCTTTGAGGGATTCTAGTAAAACCAGGATCCACTTCCCTTGTGGTTTGCTGCCGCGGCACACAACTCGCCAATCGACGTTTGGTTTCCATTTCGGCCAACTTTATGGTGGCCATCTGCAGTGCCACCTTCTTATCGGCTATCTGCTTATCTAGCGTTTCCTGATCCAGTTGTATCTGCTGCCTCAGTGCAAAATACATTTTATATTCAGTTTCCAGTTGTTGAAAAGCTTCCCTGGCTTTACTCGGCCTTTGCTGAATTTTCAAGGCTTTGCTAATGCTAAAATCCTTCATATCCCGTTGCACGTTCAGCGGATCATACGAAATAGTAATAGGCTTTTGTGGATGGGACCCTGAAGATCCCAATTCAACTTTAAAAAACAGTATATATATTTTTTTTAAATATTTACTAAAAGTATTTGCCAGATAAAAGATACTTACAAACAACCAGGCAAGCAATAAAGAATTGTTTCATACCCAAAAGATTGAATATTTCCAATGCCAAAGCACGTCTGTATATAAAGAAGAAACCTCCAACTAAATATTAGTTATGCCCGATTTTTGCTGTGACATATCATTTCGATATGGTTTTTATTTAAGCGAAAAAGATACTCTGTGGAAAGCTAGAGCTGATTTTTCACTCTATACGATTTTTCAAGTATAATTAAGATCACAACAGAAACAGATTTAATGTGCAATTCGCATGCCCCCAAAATTAATGTGAGAACTGCTCCGAGATAGATCTGAGAGCCACCAACTGCCATTGTCTGCCAAGCGAAAGTGAAACTGCCTGCCAGAGAGATCCGTCGAGACATCCGTTTTGGCTTCATACTCATACGTAGAATGTGAAACAATCAAAATCGTAAGTATAGTCGCCTCCACAATTTTTCGTTACGTTTTGGGGGGGGATATGCAAATTAAGACTTGCGCCTGCGCACGCGTCAAAATTGGTTTCGGAATTGAATGTGGGCTGCAGGCAGCAGCCCCTGCAGCTGCCCCTGCCCCTGGTCGCTATACATATGTGGGCGATCGGTCAGTCTTCCAGTTTTTATGGGTAGGTGTCTTGTCTTTTCTTAATGGTTGAATTTACTACCAAATTATGCGCAAGTTACTCGCATTTTGCGTGGTGTCTGAAACAGATCTACATATGACCATAAAGTCGTTTACTACCAAAACAAATTTGAGTTGGAATATTGATAGAATATTAGCAGCTAAGCTACCCTATAAGGCGGCGGATTATACAAAATATTTAAGTTTTGTTTGCATTTAAGATTCAATTTGCAGCTGTTTTGCCATAATGCTACCTCAGCATTTATATTACATACCTACTATAATATTTTCTTGATTAATTTAAATATTTTTTGTTATATTTTTTAAGTTAATTTTATGAATTGCAAAATAATTTCAAATACCAGGTTTTCGTACGTATGAAAATACGGGCAACAATGTACTTTAATTGAGTAAAAATAAAAAAATTACTTACCCTTCAATTTCTTTCGGTGTGCCAGTTATCATTTGAAGCCAAAGAAACAGATATCTTACACCAGGAAACCAAGTCGGGGCTGTGCTGCAAATATGAAAGATATCGTATCATTAAAGATATATTTTTCCTCTGAATATTTAATTTATTTGAGCAAGAACTTTTTTAATTTCCCAAGAAAAATTAATTCTGCTTAATTTCCACATATATTACACGAATTTATTTAACTTTTAATATTCCCACACATGTCGTGACATTAAGATATTCCGCAGTAACTACGAAGTACTTTTTTGCAGCACCCTCTGACCCTTGCCGATCTCTGCCTTTGACATCTCATTGAATAGGTTTCCCAGTATGTATATTATTTATCATTCTCATTCCTGTAACATTCATAGATTTCTTTGGTTTTTCTTAACTTTCAAAGCCACTTCGCCTTTCGATTGATGTTCTTGCATAAGTCTGAAGACAATATCTATCATCTGTCAGCTGTGTTTCCCACACAAAGAGATTGGGTAGACAATGTCTTATTCCCTCATTTTGATTGCTTTATTATGATTATGATGATGATGATGATACTCTCTCTATCTCTATCCGTCTCTCTCTCTCTCTCTCTATTCGTCTCCTGTTTCATCTCCATCTCTCTGTTGGTTCCGTGACGCTCTTCTGGTGCTTTCCACTGCTGCAGTTTTCGGTTTCAATTTCCCATGGCTGCTGCTTGCTGCCTGCTGCCAGCATGTGTTTTATTATATGATTTTCAACGCTTCGAACCGTTGGCAGAGCGCAGAGGGCAGAGCACACGCTTTCATTTGCGTTCGGGGGAAAATGACCCACTTCCGGATTAGCATGGACCACTTTTACTGTCGTTACAATCGTAGGAAAAAGGGCCCCCAGAATCAAACCACTCTGTGGCGTGGAGTGGAGTGGCGTGGAGAGTGTAACGCGGAGTGGAGTGTGGGGGCCTAATGATGTTGTCGCTATACATTCATATGTAGGTATCCCACTCCTCACATCCGCTGGATACAACAATTCTGTCTGTCTTTCTGTCTGGGTCTGCGTCTGCCTCTGTTGCATGTTTGTTGCATTTAATTGTAATTTATTTGCCATACTCCATAGAATGGGGCCTGGAAAAACAACAGAACGGAAGCAAATATTTTCCGGTGGAAGTCTGGATATAGAAAAAGGGAAGTCCACCAACAGACTTCATCATTCTACTCGTATCAAGCATTGATTGATTGCAGGGGCAGCAGGTCCACCAGTAGAGGAGTACTAATGGATCCCGCAGATACTTGAGTAAGAAAACCCAACCCTAAAGAGAGCGACGGCATGCCAATGCCAATCGAATGGCCTTAAACGACTTCGTTGCCTCACTCCTCTCCTCACTCTTTCTCTTGTGGTTCGCATTTTGTCGGCTTTTGCTTAAAGGGAAGAAAATGCCAAACGATGCCGACAACTGGAGTTCGACTTCAATCGAACTGTGTGCAAAAGAATCCGCACAACACAATAATCAATCGACAAAGGGCCAAAGTCGATGCTCTGGCTGAAAGGCTGGGGCTGAAGCCAGAGCAAATTGCTAGCTAATTTTGACGCAAAGAATGCCAAGAATCGCGAAACTGTTGGCAACCGACAAAAGGAAGCTGCAACTTCCTACCAAAAGAGGACAAATGTATGCAGCACCTGAGGGTCTGCTGCTTGGGCTGATGACCCCACTCTACACGGGCGACTCTTCACACCACAAAAATCGGGGTAGGGTGCCATAATTGCCTATACGCAGACAGCAGCACAGAAGCAACCGTCAGGCTAATTACTGACGAAGCAGGGGGCCCACAAATCAAAGCGGAAATTGTTTATTAAACAAATCCCAAATGTTAGTTCTATTCCATGGTGTGGATAATGGAGTTTTAATTGAGTTCTGTGTGGCAATCGGCATGCGATGCGTGTTCGAAATTTGTGGATTAGATGACATAATAATCGGGCTGTCATAGAAAACAGGAAGAAGCCTAACAAGATGGGGAAAACTAAAGAGGCCCACCCCGATCTAGGGCAGAGAAGGTTCTTGATAAAGGGAAGAAGAGCAGAAAGAGGAAGTGGGAAGAGTGTGGTAGTTCGTAGGTTGGAATATCTGTAGATAGTACACTTTTCAGCAATCGTTAAAATAATTTCAAAGACAATCCCATGGTGAACATTCCACTATAATGGTTTACCATTCACTTTCATTTAGTGCGAAATTATTTGCATCTGTTTGTTTGCATCTTTTGAAAGTATGTTATGTATCTGCAGCTACAGCTACAGTTCAGACTTGAGCTATTAATTCTTTCGCAAATTATTCATAGATTTCTCATTATTTTTGTACCATATAAAGGTGAGTCTTTAATTTCCTGCCTAAATTATATTATATTTATTTTTAGTATAATTAATATATTCATTATTATTATATTTATTTTTATTATTATTATATTTATTATTATTGTTATATTGTATTATTTAATATTAAGGTTAAATATGGGCCGTATTAAAAAGAATTTTTTAAATATATTTACATTTAAATCAAAATAAATTCTAATAAATAAATAATAAATTATAATTTAATAAATACATTTTTTTTTGTAAACAATATTTTAATTCAATTATAGGTGTTAATTATCTCTACCCTTCACTGCACTACTAGCTCTATTCTAGTTAGATGTGAACTCTAAATATATATTCTTTTGGCCTACTTTTGGAGTCCCATTAGCAATGCCTCGATCACAATTTCCTTGCGTTCCTCTCCATCACAAATGTGGCCCAACAATAACTTCCCTTTCATAGCAAGAAATAAAACTACATTTCAAAGATATACGGATACATATGGCACCTCTAGATACGTACATATGTATGTACCATATGTCATTGCAGTTGAATTGAATTGCAAAACAATTTCAAATCATCCATGGACTGCTCTTGTACGAGTACTAGAGAGGGAGTGGACGCAGTGCTTCCCACTTCATCTTCTACATGGCAGCAGACAGCTCATCTGTGTCCCATTGTGGTAATGCAATTGCCGGTCGCTGGAGCTAGACAATCGCTTGACAATTGCTTGAGTATCTCATGGATACTCACAATTGTGTCAACGTTGCACTTTTTAGCATTAGCTTTGGCTGTAGCTTTTTTCTCACATTACACAGAGGCACGAGATGCAAGCGAGTGAGCGAGCGACTCGGTAACTGAATAGCAGGGAGGCAAGCAGATACGCGCGCACACGTTGCAACTTGTTGCCTTGCTTTCTACTACACTGCCCCACCAGCAGCAGCAGCAATTTGCAACTTTCCACATGCCACCACCAAGTACACAGATACGCGTATAAGTATCTCATAGAGGAGGTACTACGTACTCGTCTCTCTCTATCCGTACGTATGGGGAAAATGTTGATGTTACGCTTGATTTTTTATTCAACGATTTATGTGTCATTGTTTTGGCATCTGAAATTACCAGAAGACAGAGAGACAGACAGACTCACAGACTCACTCTCATTGTCGATTGTTGTACGTTGAGTAGTCTGTAGCTTTATCTGCATCTTGGATGGTAATGTTATGTTGATAACTTTCCCTGCTGTATCTCATGGATCTTCCCCCCACCAAGTGCGTGTCGAGCGGAAGTCGATTTCATGCCTTGATCTCTACCTATCAGCCACATGATGTAATGATAGTGGGTGCTGCTGCTGCCCCCTCAACCCCTCTTTCCCTCTTGATTAGCCATATTAGTGAAAAGGAAAGTTTTCTCGCCACCTGAATGGCGGCAATCATCATTAGGTGGTGGCTGGCATAGGCATATCGAACACCCCCCCAAATGCGGTTCCAAATTGAAAATTAAATGCATATAAAAAAGCATACCTACAATTTTCATTGCATTCCATACGCCTTTTTATGGGCATATCCAATCCAAAAGTTTTTTTTTGGTTTGCGGATTACAAGGTAGTAAACGACTTTTGGCCATTTGTGGATTTTTTTTTAGATCTCACACACCACATATAAGTCGTGTATTTTGCGCCTGATACTCGTACTATTATGTATAATTTTCTTCAATTAAAGACCAGCAGACACCTACTAAAAGTTGACGGGGGGGCTACTGGGTTGCCCACTCAATCAACGAGCGTTTCGATCGCCCACATAATGACCCTGTTTTGGCGACTATTGATAGCTCCCACACATCACATGCTGACAGAGTTGGAGTGTGGCTAGCAGAGGAACTGAGAGATCAAATAAGTCAAGGGAAAAATATCATTTAATTCTGACGGGTTTCAAAGCATATTTTGTGTGAGTATTTTAAGGCTATCCGCATAACAAGATCGAGTCTGACTTCTTTGATGCTTAATTACATATTTTAAGAACTATAGATCCGCAGTGCCGCAGCATGAAATTGATCAATGCTTACAGGTACGACTATTATAGAACATTCTTTAGTATCTTAAGGTCTCAAAGACGATTCCGACTTTGTTTATGGTTAGTTTCCTTCATAACTTTAAAGCAGATAAATCAAAGAATAAAATGTTTGCATTCTGACTGATTTTATAAAACATTCTTTGGCATTTTAAGCAAAACTATCTCCTGTGATTGAGTCTGCCTATGTTTAGGTATAACTTTCATTAGCTATTGTATCAAAGAAGTAAGGATATTTAATCTCATAAATTTCTACACCAGAGATGTGTAGTTATTAAATATTTCTTGAACATATTTCATATATTTATGACAATATTTTATGGGTTAATATAAACCTCTTAGATATTTTTTTATTCTTTCGTAATGAATCATCTCCAACTATTTTCTAAAAATATTCTCCATATTTTCAAAAGGTCACATAACCATATTCCTGAACTAAGCTGACAATTACATTGCTAAGAACACAATTCCATCGATTCTCCTCTCTTTTTGGGGGCAGCTTAGTGCGCAGTGAGCTTCAGGCACCATCGCCCACATTCTGCCACAAATACTGAGTAAAATTGAGTAGCTTTAAAACTATGAAAAACCCCAAGCCAAGCCAGGCCAGGCATTGATGTAGGTCGTTGTCTGGTATGAAAAGTCAGGCAACGACGTCATCAATTTTGATGCCATTTATGGAGGGTCTCTCTCGGAAACAGATGGCCCATAAAAAAATGCAACAAAAAATCATCTTTTGTTTTTTTTATGGAACGTCCGCCCGCACATGGGTAGACGACACGGGGTGACATAAGCTGCTGCCGTTTTTTGTTGTTTATTATGTTTCTTTTTGCTCTGCGACTTATATAACGCAAACGATCCCCCTGACAGATGACCCACGCAAGTGCAGCGCTGGTTCTTAGCCAAGTTCGATGGCGTTTTGGGCTTTTGGTTTTTGTGGCTGCTAATTAATGGGACGGGAAGCAGCACCGCGACAGGTTGGCGCGTGGCAAACTTTTTCCTACCAAAAAGGCGCCTACAATCTTGTAGCTTGATTGCATATCTTGTGGATGTATCTGTCGGCTCTTTTTTGGTTGCACTTTTTCAGCGTGGGTCTGTCTGTGGGGCTGTCTATTGGCCTGGAAAACAGCTTCAAGCCCGCAAGCGCGTTGGCGGAAAAACAACTTTAAGCCAAACAACAAAATACAAAAATAAATAAAATACAAAAATTCATTCACTAAAAAGTTGGCTGTTCAGATTTTTGTTGAATGAAATGGTTTTTTTTTTTTTTTGGTGAATGGAGCCAGCGAGCAGCTTGTGGCTGTTTTAATTGTAAAAAGCCATGGCCTAAAGGTGTTTATGGCCACAACAGCATTTGCATATCAATCGAAACGTAGGAACAGAATCCAGAGAGAGAGAGGGTTCTCAAGCTAAAGGGAAGTTTCTGTAGAATATAGCCTGCATATATTATTGGTTTATTTTATTGGTTTTTCGGGGATTAACATATTTTAACCCAGAGATTTCTCTCTCACAACTTCAACTTCATTCAGGCGCTCCACTTGGCATAAATCATACCCGAAATATATAGCCAATTATTCAAAGCCCCCCTCCTAGATATTCCCTCTGCACATACTTCAATTTTTGAGGTCAACGAACAACACAAAGTTTTTCCATACATCAATCATCAAAAGACTGAAAATTTCGTATTACGTCCTAACTCCCAAGAGAGAAACTGAAGGCCGAATGCCGAAGTTGAAGCACCAGAGATATTGTCACCAGATCGATGTTTTGTAACCAAAAATTCAGTAGCCTTAGGCGGGCACTGTCCACTCCACTGCGCAGGGACCACCATCCCCTTCCTCTTGGCAAGGGGTGTATTCGCTTCGCTTTTGAATCAACAAACCATAAAACGCACTTAACCCAATGTGTACTTCAGCTTCAGAGTTTCAGAGCTTCAGAGAGACCAGAGCAGTTACAACAAAAAATATGAAATGAAATATGAAGTCCAAGGGAGAGTCGCAGCTTGAGATACCCTGCCAGATTCATTTTTTTCCTGGCTTTAGTTGGATTTTCTGCAAAAATCAAATAGTTTTTCCAACAAAATCTTTAACCAATTTTTCCTATGGCCATTATTATTATTAAAATTTCAATTATTTCCTTAGTTAATATACAGAAATATATAAACGATATTGTACCATAAACTAATTTTTAAAGCGAATATTTTTATGGATGCAAAGGACAGAAACAATTGAGTAATAAAATATAAAATATTTGATAAGGATTCAATTAATATCTTTATATTTTTGACTTACTGAATAAAGTAGATTTTTAAAGAAGATTATGTGCAAGATTTGCAGCTGATATATGGAAAAGGACAAGGGACATATATGATTAATAAATGTAGGATAATCAATTATTTTTGCTCCTATATTCATGTTTCGATCGGGCATCTGTTACCCTACTTCGTTCTCAGCACAGCAAACAATTGTATTAAATAATAATACCCTCTTCTTCAGCCAAAGAAAGAGTATAGAAAAATCTGTAGCTACTGGGCAACTTGGTCGTCTGGGAGCTGACCAAACAAATTGAACGACTGGAACCCTTTACTCCCCTGACTCTTGCCACTTTATCCATACACCCCTCTCCATGCACCTACTCTACTCCCTTCACCTACCCCCCTCCCGCTGTTACTTCTTTTGCACTCTTTGTGGCCGCCTCAATTGAAAACTCAGCAAGTTTTCAAAACAATTTTTGTGTGTGTGCCACCAAAGTAGAAGAGTAGAGAAGCAGAGCAAGAAGACAGAGGGCAAAACCTGTGGCAGGGGACTGAGTGGGGCAGTGGACCCAGTGGCTACGCTACCAGTGAGACAGTGGGCCACTGGATATGGATGTGGCTGTGGATGGGCGAGGGCGAGGGCGCCGTCGTGGTTATTGTTTGGTGCCGGCCGGCAATTGTTTTGTTCAGATCAAAAAGCGCTGATTAAAGCAAGTTGAGCGAACGAGCGGCTTGGCGGCAGAGGCAGCGTCAACGGCAGCGCAATATGCACTTTCAATTCTGGTTATTGTTGTCATCAAAGTTGTTCGGTTGTTCGGTCTTACAAATAGGGTATAACAGTGAGGTATCATAGCTGCATAAATGACTTAAGAATAAATTAAAGAATAAATGAATATATTGGGAAAAAGAATAAGCTTTATTGCCAAACCCAATTTTGATGATTTTCGGTCCCTTAATATTTTGCTTAAAACTTTACATTTCAATTAAATTTTAATTTTTTTATTTTAAGATTAATTTTTTGGGGGAAAAAATCCCCGAATTTCGGGTTTTTTGGGTGTTCCCGCGTTTGGGGTTTTTCTTTATTTTAGTGTTTTTTTTTTTTTTTTTAAAAAAAAATTTTAATTTTTTTTTTTTTTTTAAAAAAAATTCTCTTTTTCACAATTCAATTTTTTTTTATTTCCAAGAACCGGCACAAAAATATTCATTCCTTACAGTCTAAGCCTTCCAGTAAGGGTATTGCCTGTGTCAGCACCTATGTTCATGTGTTGCACTGCCCCCCGCTATTTCCACTCCTCATCTTTTGGTTTTTGGATTTGGGTTAAGCGCTCCAGCAAACGCCAAGTCATGCGTGGACCCCAAAAGCTGCGTCCAAAAAGAGGTTTTGCTTTTGTTTTGTTTGTTTGTTTTCAGGCGGCCCGCTGGTTGCCATGGCGATGCGTTGAAAGATCAACGCATGTTGCACGTTGCACGTAGCAATTGCAGTTTCAGTTCTTCTAGCGGTTCTATCCCCCCCTTCACCCAAGAGATTAATGACTGCCCAAAAAAAAAAGCTACGGAATTTTAATTTGATTTGTGGTTTCGTTTCGTTTCAGTTTTGGTTTCGGTTTCGACTTAGTTCAATGAGCATTCGACATCGACTGCGGTGCTTCATTAGGCGTGAATTCTTCGTGGAGTCGAGTGGAGTGGAATGAAGTGGATAGGCGTAACGCCCCAGTCCCATTCCCATTCCTAACTAGTTAATATGGGGGTAACCGCGAAGTTTACTTTGAGCAGCATCTCTTATCTCTTCTATTAAATAATTATAGTGCCCCAAAGGGTCTGACGCTGACCCCAGGAATGTTTTAGTTGCAACAAAAGGCTGCTAGAACTTGGCAAGAAATTTTGGAGTACTTTAAAATTTAAAGTTTAAATAAAAGGAAATAAAATAAAACTTTCAAATTAAATGAAAGAAAAAATTCGATTCTCGAATTAAATCCGAAAATGAATTTCAATTCTTGGTTGAAGTGAAAGAAAACTGCAGTCTACAATAAAAATGAAAAGAAAACTTGACTCTGGAATGAAAATAAATAAATTAAACCTAAAACCTGGGCTAAAATTTTTTTTTAGAAAATTGATAACAAGAACTGCATTGTACTTCAGTATTAATTTATTCAATGATGTTTTTATGTGTTAAATAGACTTTTCAATTTGGCTTCCAAATTTCAATTACCAAAATCTTCGTACGTAAATCTTTCTTTAGGCTTAATTCAAGTTTAATATCGCCTCTAAAATATTGCACTTCTGATACTAATACGTGGCTGGAATTTCCCTTGATTTTTGTTACCATTTTCAATTGAAATTCTTACGAGAAGAATTCTTAAGAACTCCTATGCTACCTTCCCATTTGTCTGCCTCTTGGAGGGCGTCTTCCAAAGACTTCTTTCAGTCTTTTTCTACAACACAATAAGATTGACACACTTCAAAGTTCAATTGTTGCCAAGATACTTTCCCCCACCCCCACCAGCTTCATGGTTCCACGTTGCCATGGAAAAACTCTTCCTCCTTTTTTCCTCCCAAAGAAAATCACTGCAATGGCAAGGTTTTTTTTCTCTCCCCCCGCCTAGTTGGAACTTTTTCGTTCCGCCATTCAAACTCAATTAACCAAATGGGAGAGTCGTTCACCTTTATTGCTGCTCTGCTGTTGCAGCTTCGTTCGCTTGTCCCTCTGTTGCACCTCCGCTTGTCCCTCTGTTGCACTCCCGCTTGGCCCTCTGTTGCACCTCTCTTTTGCTACGCTGTTGTTTCCCTTTGGATTGGGGAACACAATAGTCCAGAAAGAGCTTCCAGACGACGACACCCACAGCTTGAGAGCCACCAAACTCCACTCCACTCCACTTTGCAACCCGACCGAGCGAACGCTTTGTGTTCCGCTGAACGCCACTCTTGGGGCCAGCAGAAGAGGCAGGCAGGCTAGCATTGTCGCTCCTCTGGGTAAGTGCTGGAGCTGTGCAATTGCAAAAGGAGACGACCATCTGGACACGCTTGGGCGCACTCCGCCAGCTCCAGCAGTACAGCTCCACTGTAACTCCCCAGCAGTTCCACTGTTCTCTGAAAGTCAAACTGTTTACCCACGCCATCGTGGTCGTCGTCGTCGTCGTAGTCTATCTGTCAGCCAAGGCCAATGAACCGCCCTGTTGCCAGAGTACACGAGGAGTACATGTACTCCAAATAATCCACAGCCATAGCCCCAAACAACATCCAACGCATTTACCCCCCACACACACACACACACACACACAGACACAATAGCTTTGGCCCGACATTTAGCTGATATTTTTTTTGAGGCCAAGAACTTAGCTTTGGCCAGGTTTTTGGCCATGAAAAACGGCTTTTTACGTCATCGAAATGATTGGATGAAAACAAATCTGGAGAGAAAAACTGAGCAACGGCAACGGAAGCCATTAGAGGCGGCTTCCATGAACGGGGTGGGGCATGAAGTGGAGAGGAAGGCGTCTTGTGTTCTGGGTAGGAGCGGGAGCGGCTCGGTTATGTGCCCGGCATTCCAAGCAATTAATAATAATTTCCGCTGGTTTCAAACAAAAAGGCAAAGCTTTTCATGTCTCTATTTGACTGAAGAAGAAGCCTCAAAAGGTAGAAAGAGGTCTAGGGTCTAGACTCTAGACCGAAAACCACGAAGACCAAAGTTTATCTTTCCTTTGGTAGCAAGTTGCAGTTTTTATTTATTTTCAGTAAAGTTCTTAGTTTTCTTCTTTTTTTTTTTGGAAGCAAGTTCTTTGTTTTTGTGTTTGTTTTTTTGTGGGAATGTTTTTTGAAATGTTGCTAATTTTTATATACGCAAATGGAAAGAAGGGAAATATTGCTTTAGATTTTCATTTAAAAATTTCTCCAAAAATGTTGCATTCAATGAACAACTAGAAATAAATTTCTAGATTTCCCGTCTAAAAAGAGTTAAGGGGTTGTGGGTAAAGGGGGGTCGGGGGCGCCGATAGCGATGTCTGCTGTCTGTCTGTCTGTCTGTCTGCGTCTGTCTGTCTGTCTGTCTTTCTGAAAAAGAGAGGGCAACCAATTTGGTGGGGGGGGTGCTGCATTTTAGATATAAAAGGGGGGGGAATATAGAAATGCTTTGGTTCTCTCCTTCTCCAGCGCTTCACCTCCCCAGAAAACCAGAAGTTGTGCATGTACAATGTAAACTAACCAGAATGTTGTTTTTTGTAAAAATTTGCGCATAGGTTTCCGTTATATTTAATATCTCCCACTAAATGTACATGAATAAGTTCCTTCTCCACCCTTTATGTGGACATAAATATTCTCTCCCTCTCTCAACATTTTATAAAACTCTGCAGCAATTATGTTGCTAATTTTTGTGATGCTGAAAGAGGGTCATGAAATATTGCTTTAAATTTTCATTTAAAAATTACTCCAAAAATAAAGTTGCATTCAATGAAACAACCAGAAAAGAAATTTCTAGAAATTTGCCATAGGTTTTTATATTTAATATATTTTAAAAATTTCCCTCTTCTCCCTCTGAATGTAAATGAATAAGTCCCTTCTCCCGCTTTATGTACACATAAATATTCTCTGTCTCCCTCAACATTTTACAAAACTCTGCAGCAATAAATCACAAAATATGACCCAAGACTCAATGCGATGTGTGGCCTCAACTGAAAGATTTCCCCATAGCTGCAAGCGATAAAAAGAAGTCGTAACCATTGCAATTATCATTGAGATAATCTTTACCAATCTGAATCTGTATCAAAGTCTAGATCATGGGGCTTTCTTATCGTTTGAACTGTGACCCAGCGTCTGGCTGCGATTGCTAGTACAAATTGTTGTTGTTTCTATTTTGCTGTGCATTTACCGGCAAAATGTTTGTTTATTTTGACACGTATTTCAGCGACCCAAAAGACGCTTGTTAGTAAATATATTTCCGTAATATTTGTGTGCCCTTTTTTGGGGTATTATTTATAGCACAATCAACGACTGTCGGGCGGGCTACTGTCTGCTTCGATCTGTTTGTAATTTGTTTATGGCAACTGTTGCCTCGATTAGATGTCGGCGCTGACAGCCTCGATGAAGTCTCTTTTGAAGGCGCTGCCGCAACGCAGGGCAACATGTGTGGCAGCGGCAGCAATTCTCATTTGTATTTGTTGTTTATTATGCCACGGCCTCTGCGTGGCTTGGCGTGGCGTGGCATGCGGCTGTGGCGGCGGCGACAAAACAGTAGGAAGAACTGCTGCTGGCTGCTGCTTGCTGCTGTTTTCTGTCTGCCCTAATGATTTTGACCCTGAACGAATTTTCAAGTGGTTTCGGTTGCCTGGTTGCATGCCCCGTTGTAAAAGTTGTAAACATGTCCAGCCCCGAAGACTATCCATGCCACAGCGACTGAGTTATAAATTCGTTGCCCAGTTGTTGGTTTATGTCGCTCTTGGTGGTGCCTGTGCCCCACACGTCATAGATGTCGCGCTTCCCCCTTTTTTATTTGTTTTGTATTTTTTTTTTCTGAGGAGGAGCCACAGAAGTTGAAATTGGTTGACAGATGACTGATGAGAGTTTTGCTGGATTGATGGCTGAGAGAGCCCACACCAAAACGCCACGCCACGCCACACAGACACAGCAACATTAAAGACAAAATCTATATATAAAATCGATTAAACAGACGATCCACAATAAATGAAAGCAAACAAAAAAAAAAGGTGTTGCCTTACACAAAACGCTTTGAAGTGGAGCCGCAAAAGGGAGTTGGAGCCACAGGAAAGGTGAATTATGGCAAAGGAAGCAGTAAAATAGGAAATAGGAAGAGATTTTCCTATAGCGAACGAATCTTTGGGGGTTATGATGAAAGTTTATTATGATTTTTGGTGAGTTGAAGTCTTTGGATGAGAGAGAAATATGGAAACTACAAGGCTAAAGGCTTAGAAATTATTTTAGAGCATATTTTCAAGAATTTTTAGAAAGAATATAGAGCTAAAAAAAATGCTAAAAATATAGAAAATTTAAAAGATTACAAAAGAAAGTTGCCAGAGAATATTTTTCACATTTTGCTTAGTTTTTGTAGAAGATTTTCATATAATTTGTAGTAGTAAATATAAATAGCAACATAGTTCATGGATAGAGATAAATAACAGAAGAGTTTAAAGGTAAAGATACAAAACAGAAAAGAGAAAATATAAAAATTCCAAAAAAAAATCCCTTCCTTCTCCCATTTTACTCACTAAAAATGACAGTCTCTGCCCCCAAAGTGGCATCCAGGCTGGCCCAACCCAAGGCACTTGCCACCAATTGCTGGATCTGTCGCAGGGGCACACCCGCCTTCTCCAGATCCTCGGTCAAGCCGCGATACTCCTTCAAGGAGCGAACATCCCGCAGCAGCTGACGGAACTCCAAGCTGCGGATGAGACGCACAGCACTGGAGAGCTCCGCATCCGAGGCGTACATCCGCAAGTAGAGATCCCTCAGAGCGGTGCGCGGCAGGACATCCCGCACATCCTGCAGCAGGCCACGTATGCCCTTGCGACGATTCGGCAGAGGACTGGTGGGCGCCTCTGTGGTGTGAATATTGAGGAAAACTCGCACATAATCAAAGTAGTAGGCGGGATCCAGCTTCAGGCGACGACAGATATAGTCCTGCAGCAACTGATGCTGCTTGGTGGCACGCAAAAGTGCCACCTGCTCCTTGAAGGCTTTGCTCTTGAGTAGTTGCAGCAGCTCCTTCACCTGGGGATCTTCAACGGCATTGGCAAAAATGTTGCGCAGCTCGGCAGCAGGCAAAACAGGTCGTGCCACGCGTATGAGATTGGTGAGTCCACGTGGGGCAGTGCTGGGACACTCTTTCGTATCACGTGTGGTCAGTAGCGCCTCCAGTGTGTTCTTCGTTGTGGTGGGATAGGTGGTAGGGATCGCTTCTGTGGAGGAGACTTCACTGTTGGCTGTAGAGAGGAGGTTTTCGGTGCTGGCGGAGACCTTTTCGGTGCTGGCAATCGAAGGAACCTCCTTCTCTGTGCTTGCAATTGGAGCAGCCTGCCTCTCCGTGATTGTTTCTTCTACCAATTGACGCGCAAGCCTTGCCTGATCCTGTTCCTGCTCAAGCCACACGGGCATCCAATTGATCTTCTGTGCTGTCATCACATTCTGCTCATCCACCGAAGGTTCTGCCAGCTCCATTAGCTCCGCGGACAAAGCAGGAAAATTCTCCAAATAAATGGCTGTCGTCTCCTCTGACGACTGCTCCTCCAATGATGAATCTCCTGCCACCAGTAGCTGCAGCAGGCAGCCAGCGAGCAGGTAAACGACTAGCCGATACATGATGGAATCAATTCGAGTGAGAACTGTGCTTAAGCCACATCAAATTGCACATTTTATAGCCCGCTGAGATGGCAGCTCCCTGCCTTGGCCTGGCCAGGCCGCTCTTTATCTTTTTGGCTGTTGAATCAACGAATCTGAATCTATTTGCTTAAAATTTTGACAGGCAAACACACAATCGTTCCGTCAACAGAAGCGCACAAGAACAAGTCAAAAGGGAGTGTGAAAAAAGTGGAACGACCTTGAAGAAAGCTCATCAATCTTTCATATTTTTCCCTGCCATCGCATCATCGCATTGCCCTCATCGAATTGCATCGTAAATCTCACTTCCCTCCCCTTCCATAAAAATAATCGCAATTTCATGTTTTCTGTCAGGGATTTGCTTCAATGGTTTTTCTGGCAGGAGAAACGTTTCCTGCATGTCCGTAAAAAGCATTTACATTATCACAAAACAATAATCTATTGAATATCTATTGCAGTTAATTTTCTGATGGCAATTTACACTCATTTGAGAGATTTGTAGGTAAATCTTTTTGATGGCTTTTCGAGCACACATACAAGGAACCTTTTTGCCTGCTTATTTTCATGATCATTGTATTCATTATCTTAAAGACCTTAAGGATTTATCAACTATGGGATTAAGTTGCTTTAAATTTGCATTATTTATGGCTGAAACGTTTCAAGGGGAAAAGTTGACGATATTCAGAGAGTTTTTGCCGGGTTTTTGCGGTGGCAAATACATGATAAGATGAAAGATGTGAAATGTTATTACTCACCTTTATAATGATTTTGAATAGTTAAGAATAATCTTGTAGAACTTGTGGAAATTTCTTCACCTTTAAACTGAAATTAAATATAAAAGAAATAAATTTAGTATTAAAGTTGGTAAACAATCTATTTGATCAAATATTACTCCAGTATTGTTGGGAGCATATACATATATTTTCAGCATATTTCTAAAATGTATAACCATATTATACCGATCTAAAAAATTGAAAATGTTCCTTATTTTTGCCTCTATTATTTTTTCCGTAAATTTTATATTATATTTTTAAAAACAAAAATTTCCCATATTTCTATATATATTTTGTCATATTAAAACTATTATGTTTCATTTTGCATATATTTTTAGCTATTATTTTAATATTTCTACTATTTAACACTTCAAAAAAATTTATTTTCTGATATTTATTAAATATTTATTTTTAAATTTTTATATTCCACATAGTTTTTAATATTTCACATTTTGCTCTCCATGTTTCCTACCTAATTTTCATAAACTCCCCTTATAGCCCCCTCAAATTTTAACCAAATTATTAACCTCAATTTTCTGTATTCCCTGCACGCATAAACCTCTTTCAGTCCCTGCCCTTGGTCATAATGGAGACCATTGCCATCAATCTGATGGCCCGTAGAGATTTTTGTAGACATCTTTTATCCAGCCAAGATACCGGAGATACCCAAGCAAAACAAGTTAGTTGCCATACACTCGTATAAAATCCTTTATAACCCATAAAAATCTTCCCCAAAACACAATCAAATGAAATTTTATGTTAATCCACGAGAAGAAGGTCCCTGTCCCCCTTCGCCTCGTGGAAGGAAGCGACACCCAAAACGAAGAACAAAGTGTCTGCCATCTGCACCTCTTTCTCGTCGTCTCTTTCTGTCCCTCCCTCTTTAAGGTCTCCCCCAATGAATATTCATGTAAAAATGTGGGGAATTAGGGTGAATTCTTGAGGGGTGGTAAGACTATCCTTAAGACATTGTCAATTTCAATACCTAAAATGTTTCGCTCATTGTCAACAGCAGCAAGAGGGAAAAACCAGAGGAAAAGTAACAAAAATTCAGAGTAGAAAGGAGAACAAAATTCAGAGGAAAAAGCAACCAAAATTCTGAGAAAAAAGCAAGCAAAATTCAGAGGAAAAAAGATAACAAATACCAAAAGCAACAGAAATTTCAGTGTCAAAATAAAAGTTATTCCTGTCCCTGCAAAATATTAAATGGGGGGAGACACAAGACCCTTGGTGTAATGAGTCCCACATGGAATGTTGCTGTGTGCAAATGATTTTTGGGCTGACGCTTTTACACATTTCACCCAAAAAAAAGAGAGAAAAAAGAATGATAGGAAGAAAGGTGGGAAAATGGGTGGCCTGAAAACATGCAAAAACATCAAGAGAGAGGCAAGAAAATAAAAGAATATTCATTACATTTCGAATGGCAGGGTAAGGACTTGCCTCTCATTCCACTTCCTGTTGCTGGCACCTCCTGCCCTTTATTGTTACCCCTTCTTTTAGGGGGCAGCATCCTTCTCTTATGCATCCACTGGAGGGCCCTTGCGGCTTAAGGCAATGCCACAGCCGAAAATACCCCCTTCTTGGGTGCCTAAAATATGGTTTCAATTGTTTGTCAGTTGTTCGGGCGGGCGGGCGCCTATTTATAGCGGGAAAACGAAAAATCCATTAGAATATTGCTGCAGACACGTGCCCCCCTGGCCCCTCTCTCCACAGGTGTGGCAGACAGAAAAGTACGCAAAAATGCGAGTGGAGCGAGGAAGGCAGGTTGGAGGGGAGAGAGCGAATGCCAAGCCCCAAAAGCATTGCCACATAAAGAAGCATTAAGAGAATTTACTCATCCACACACCTTGCAAGTGGATTGGGGCAGTGGGGGTGGGTCAAAGGCGTGACTGTACTGCACACGCAATGACCACCCCCGAATGGGGTCGAAGGTTTAAGTGGGGGCCACAACCTGGGGCCAACGCCCAAAGAGCAAACTATTTTTGGCGTTGGTGGGGGGGGCAGGCACCAGACAGACAGGACAGGACACACAAGGAACTACATAAATCCACCCTCCCCGTTGACCAGACAGCGGGCATAAATATTTATTTTGACACGCCTTCAGACATACTGGATGTCCTTTCTGGATGTCCTTAATTGATTCAAAAAATGTAATTTAATCTGAAATTTCAATGTGGAAAAACGGGCAGCAGAATCGGTCTTTACTTGCATGGAAATGTATTCTGAATCCCTCTCCCCGTCCCCGTGTGCTGTTGATTTATGTGAGTAATAGTCTGATTTCTGTTATTGTGGCCAGCAATTAGAACGAGTCTTCACGAGTATGCAAATGGAAATGCAAATGCAAATACAAATATTATTAACCCCACAAATGTGTGAACCCAATAATCAAATTCAATTTGTTCAACTCTAAGAGACATACATACTAATATATATGTGGGGGATTTCTGGGGGATCAATAGCCGCACACAAGCAGTAAGCAGTAAGAAATGCCATAAGATTGAATTGCTCTGAAGAAAAGCTGAAGTAAAAGAGCCACAAAAGTGTTTGGCCAAAAGGAATTGTCTGCTTAATAGTTTTGAACATCTTCTGTGTTTCTCTTGTGTATGTGCCATATCGGGTTTAATGGTTTTTTGTCAATTCAGCAATCTATTTGTGGTCTTTGAGTACGGCTTAAAGTTAATGAATTTATCAATACAAGTGAGCTTTGAGCTGTTTTGCGCCTGATTATGGCAAGAACTTATTGCCTTGTGGTTTTAGAATTTTGTGAGTGTTTTATTGCCATGAGTTGAATAGAGTTTTGAATATTTAAAATACATTTAATAATAGTTTTTGGTTCTGGGATTTTAAGGAGATTTTTATAACTTTCTTTACTGCTTGCTTACCCATTTTATTCTCAATTTTTATTAATTTAAAAATTATAAAAAAGTAGGAAATAAAAAACAGTTTCTTCTTTTAACGCAGCAGCTAAAAATATATTTCTTAAATTCAGACATTTATTATTTAATCCCTTGTGAAGCAATTAGTTCTCATTAAACTACACCCAAAATCGGTGTAAGAGTCACATTCCAATTGGACCTTGTTTCCCATGTTTCCCAATTATGCAAGCTACATGGACATAAATGTGTTTAATTATTATGCTAAATTATGTTAGGCTAAGACGATTGTGGACAATGGATAAGTAAGCTGCAGTAGCTGCGAAGCAAAGCCTTGAGTGTCTGAGAAGGAAGTGGCATTGAATGGTGTCTGTTGCTACCATTCAGGGAATCTACCATACACCTACTTAAGTTTTACAGCTTAAAGGGCGTCCAAATTATTGAATTTAATGGGGATTAAAACATTCAATTTAGCATTTACCCAAATACTAATGGAAAATTGATTAATTTCAGCTACATAGTAGAGATACTAAAGCCCTTTGATTGGTTTCGCTGGATTTTGCATAGATGGATTTAACATTCACAAATGTTCATTTTAAATTAAATATTTTCATGAAAATGATTTTTTGCATGTAGCAAAAAGGAATAAATTAAGTATTACTCTCATTATTATTTGAGGTTTTAATGTGGCTTTCAAAATAGTTTTTAAATTACTGCGCCAAAACGCAGACTGTCGAAAGCTGACTGATACAGCACTCCGTACAGTTAAAGAACCTTTTCAACACTACGTGGAGGCGCAACAGTCATTGGATTTTTAAATCGAAGAGGTTTCTTTTCTGTTGGGACTAATTAAAACAGGTAACTAGTAATTCCCATTTCATGAGTAGTAACTCATTTTGAACTAACTCTGAATATTAATTTATATTCATTTTGATTTGAATATGTAACGGAAGCAGTGTTGTAGGCCATCGCCATGGAAGAACAAAACAGCTGTGCTCTCGCATCTGACGCTCTGCAACACTAGACGAAAATAAAGAGAAAAACTAAAAAGCAAATCTCATTTCAATTTTTCGTATCAGTCAAACAAAAATGTAAAACAGTTGCATTAATTAACGAAAACTGATGCGAAACACAGGGCACAGAACAATGCATAGAATGTGCAATAAAAGTAAGTGAAAAACGCATCGGAAATGTGCAAAAAGTGCGTGTGAAAATTTCTGTGTGCTCCGTTGGCCAGAAAGAGTGAGAGAGACAGAGACAGAGAGAGATTTGCTGCGTGAGAGAAGAAGAAAAATCAATAAAAATTGTCGTAGCAGCGCGATTATGACGAGCAAAACAAAAGAGCGGTTAACGAATGTGCGTGTAATGGGGGACAGAACAGAACCTAACCGCAAGCCGTTAGATGCCCCAAATGCGATGGCAAAAAGGTGAAAAATTGGTGTGAGTGAGAGAAGGGGAAAAAAAGAGATACGAGAAAACGTAAAGTGGAATTGGAGTTGGGGAATATTGCGAGTAAACAAACAAGTGCGCAATAAGTACATAAAATAAACAGTTGTGTGTCTCGTTGGGGAGGGTTTCGGGTGTTTCTTTTCACTCTCTTTATGCAAATATCTGTATGTTAATAAATATGTGTATCTACATGTGCATTCAAAGTCAATAAGTACGCGGGTCGTATCGTCTGGCATTGTCGTCTCGTCTTCGTTGTCATCGCCCCCACACACTTCCAATATTTCCGGTTTTTACGCTACGCTACCATCCCATACGCCTCTGCAGCGGCAGGGGTCGCCACGTTCATTCACATTTACGGAACATGCGAAGCGTACGGTACGACAGGCAAAATGTTCTGAAAAGAGAACAGAACCGAAGCTATTGATACCCTTTCGGAGACATTGATTGTATGGTAGCTATATGGTAGTGATAAATAAATCAATTCTATGGTTTATATCGTATGGGCAAATACCCATAATACTGTAAAGTCATTCGATTTGCATAAACTTTCACTGAATAATGGAGAAACACATCTGACTCGTTGATATATTTTCAGAAAATAAAGATGAACATTTGTGTAAAAATCGAAAAAAAGAACTGAAAGAAGTATATCTAAATATTCAAATTAGTTATTGAGCTAAGTGAACGAGCTAATCCTTGCCGTGAAGTAAAGAAAATATCCATCAACTTAGTAATTTTGGATTTAAATTATTTTTGTATTTAATTCAGAATAAAGGCCCGTTGCTCCTCCGCTCTACAAACCTCTTGTAAAAATCACCATAATCCCTACAAAAAGTGTAAAAAAATGCAAAAAGAGTATCTGTTATAAATACACACACAATGATAACAATTGAACGGAATGTACTGCAATACGAATACGAAAGCGAATACGAGTATGAATCACCTGCTAACGCGGCTCTGTGGGTTCGTCCGCCGCGCCGCTAATTGTAACGAAGGGTGTGGGGGGCGCGAGTGAAACGAAAAGCGAAAAGAATCGCGAAAGAGCAATAGAATCGCAACCCCAGCAAATAACAAAGTTAATTCCATTGTGCCGATGGCGATGATGTGATTTGTAAACCACTTGAAAGCACAATTCCTACGGCTGTGAAGTGAAGTGTTGGGGCATACAAAACCCCCCCATATATAATTGGGGTGTGTTTGGTGGGGGCTTCATATCTGTCTCTGTGTGTTTGAAGAACATATATTGTGTGTGTGTGTGTGTGTGTGGTATTAATATAAACATATTGTGCATGAAGTGTGACAATATGGAAAATCATCAAAACAAAAAACGCCATAAAGAATCAGTTGGTTTTTGCCAGTTATCGGTAGATAGTTACAGCTGTCGGATACCAGACAGATAGTTACAGGTGCTTGACGATTATGGCATAACTGTTAAACGTAGTAAATATCAGAAATAGTTAGCTCTGAATTTCCATCCTAATAGATTTCTACGATAGATAAATCTGATATCTGAGTTACTTGAATAAATTCTATTCAAATCTTGGAATAATAAGTGTCGCGTGTCTTGCAGTAACGCCCCTCGGTTGGTTTCTGCCTGGTATGCGCACGTAACAAGCTTCATCGTGGCCCCTTAATGTAATTCAGATTTTAAATTGATATCTTTATAAAGCAGAGTCTATACTACTGTAGCATCTATTAAAAAAAGTGTATAATAAAATGTGTGCGATGATATCATATTTAAAGCACAAAAGCAATTCCTGTTGATATCTTAAGTGTTTCCATTGAAAATCTATGAGATTATTGTGAAAAATTGTGCGTTTGCAGTTGATATCTTTATAGGTTTGCAGCGCGTTAGATAGTGTTTTCTTAGCAGGAAACTTTGACATTTAATATCGAGAATAAAGTAAAATCAATAAAGTTATCACAGTGATACAAAAAGAGACCTCGAGTCATGACACTCGCATGGAGTTATTTTTATATAGAGTTTACTCTGCCGATAATGATATAGAATATGAATATACATATGTACATACACATATATATATTTTGCTTTGAGTTCCTATGGTTAGTCTTTAGCTACTGCAGCGGCATACCCGATTGTATTGGCCTTTGTGCATTGCAAAATTATTAAATAAACCTTCAAAAGTCACACTTAAAATTCACAGGTGGAAGATACAGATGTGGACTGTCTGCTCAATTTTCATTACTGATTAATTATCACTCTTCTCCTGTCTGTTTGCAGTTTAAAATACATTTGGCAGTAGAAAAACCCAAAGATGAATGTAATGCGAAAGCTGCGCGGCGCTGCCACTGGAGGCAGCAGCAACGGCAGTGGCAGCAACACCACAAATAATGGCAGCAGACCCTCGGCGGAGTCCGGCCAATCCCCAGCCAATAGACGGGCTGCTGGCGAGGAAGCACTCGTGGATGGGCGCATCCAAATGAGTCTGGGTACGCTCAAGAAACTCTTCAATGAGTACACCCATCCCCGAGAGCCGCTCAGCGAACAGGAGCGCGATGAGAAGCTCTACGAAATGCTGCCACTCTTTTGCAAGGTCAGTTCTTGGTATTTATAGCAAGGGAATCAAACTTTTTAAATACAATTTACTTTGTTTTTGTTGCAGGTGTTTAGCAGCTGTCCAGCGAATGATATGAGCGAAAAGTTCTGGGATGTGGTGGCCTTCTGCCAGCAGGTGTCACGTCTCATGGTCAGCGAGATACGCAAGCGGGCATCCAACCAGAGCACGGAGGCGGCCTCCATAGCCATTGTCAAGTTTCTGGAGGTGGAGACAACGGAGGAGACAAGCAGCGGTTGGATGCTGTTGGCCACCCTCAATCTGTTGGCCAATGGAGATGTGTCCTTGATACAGGTACAGGAAAAGGATGTTATGGCAAAGGAAATGGAATAGATATCGACAGGGAAGATAAAAGATAGGAGGAATATTGCAGCATAGCATATATAGAAGATATTTGATAGATAGATTGGAAGATAAAAAGAATAACCTTAAGTTGGTTTAATTTAGGATTCATCTCTTTAACTTTCGTCTCAAATTAATTTATTTATAATTAATTTAAAATGCTTTGCATTTACTTCTCTAGTTGCTATCATTCCTTGGTTTCTGTTCTATATTTTAAGTGTAGAAATTTCCGCTAATGTTCCTTTGTTTCTTTATGAAAAGTTAGTTTCTTGCTCTCCTTTTGTGGATCTTCTGTTGGTTCCTCAGCAGAAACTTCTTGGAAATTGTCTTCCTTTTCCTTAGACTCCTTTGGCTGGAGATTTTCAGGCTCTGCTTTACTTTTAGTGGGGGATTCTGCCGCTAAAATAGATTTCTTTTTCTTCTTTATTTTATTCCCAGTTGATTTTTTCTTCGATTTATCCATCCCTTGAGCGGCAGCAACCTGTTCTTCTGACTTATCCTCCAATGATGTTATATCTTCACCTATGAAGCCATTCATCTCTTGATTGCCTTCACTTGGCACAGGACTTTCCTCCTTTAATGTTGGTTCCTCTTCTTCCGAATCACCAGCTATTCTTTCGCTCGATAAGGGATCGCTTCTAGTTCTTATGTCTCCCATCATGGTATCCTGACTGTCCACATCCCTCAGGGTAGATTCATCTGTCAGTGGTTGATTGGCCGTACTCCAATCCTCGATCTTTGCCCAAAGGCTGGAGGAATCGCTCGTGCCACGCCATGTCCAAGAGTCTTTGTGGCGTGCCCGCCCCTCTTCATGCTCCATGGAGACCGAAGACTCATAAAGAGCCATTGACTCCTCGCTTGTGGTGATTGTGGGCGTCTCCAAGAAGCTCTCCTCACTCTCCACAGGATGCACGCGGAACAGGACATTCCGTATGCCAATGACTAAATTATAAACCTTCTCCATAAACGCAACTCCTTCCGCCTCGCCGTCTATGTCCTTGAATCGCAGCGGCTGGGAGTGCGCCAGGCGCTCATAGCACTTGCATCGACGACACAGAAAATCATCCACTGGCTTCGACAGCACAAACAGATCGGTGGCACGCTCCGCCAGAAGATCTGGAAAGCCCACACGCAGCTCTCCTGTGGCCTGACGCCGCCAATCACCCGGCTGCATGCGCATCAGCAGATCGAGCAGCATGAACATGTGCATCAGATACATGGTGCCCGTTATCAAGGCCCCAATGCTCTGCCGCTTGCAGTGCGCAAAATGCGGATGCTCCAGATACGCCCAAGTGGAATTTATGGCCAACAAATGCACATCCGTCCTGGCACTCCGCATGATCAGCAGGCCACAGAAGTAGTGCATGCCCATGGCACTGGCGGTGAGCAGCAGCTCGGATGAAAGTATCGAACTCCTTGTCAGCAGCAGCCGAAAGGCACCCAAGGCGGCCAGCAGCGTGTAGGAGCCAAAGGTGGCGCAGTAGACAATAATGTGGGCTATGGGCTCAGGCCAATAGAGCGAGCCAATCACATGGAAGGCCATGCAGAGGCTGCCTAGGCATATTTCTATTAGCTTAAAAAATACCCAAACTTGATTCATTTTTGAGAGATTACGAAAGGAAAACTTAGCTTATAAATTATAGAATACAGAAATAAGGCAAAGCAGTAAAAGCGGGCACGATTTTGAAGGTGTAAGACAACTGAATGCCAGAGATGTGGAAAATGTAACGAAGAAATGCGTGTGAGCTGATGATAAAAGCAATTGTATTCCTTGTGGGTTAAAGCATTCTTCAGCTGGCAGTAAAATCTAAATCCAGAACCATCTTTATTCCATATCCAACCTATTAATACCTCTCCTCCACATCCCTTCAGGTCATGACTGCCGCTTCCGTACCCTCAACGCTGGTCAAGTGCCTGTACCTCTTCTTCGATCTGCCCATTGTGGAGGATGATGAGCCTGCGGACGATGGTTCTGCCATCAGTGATTTCAATGCCCATGAGCGTCGCACACTGCTGCAAAAGGTCTTTGTGCAGCTGCTGGTGAAACTCTGCTCGTATCCGTATCCCGCCGAAGAACTGGCACGCATGGATGATCTAACGCTGCTATTTTCGGCCATAACATCGCCCTGTCCCTGCCACAATATTGTGTGGCGTAAGAATGCAGCCGAAATACTGACAACCATATCGAGGCATGGTCTAACCGATGCGGTTGTTAGTTATATACATTGTAAGTGCAGCTTAAGCTCTATTCAAATATTTCCTTAATGTAATTTAACTCTCCTTTCTTATATAGCCAAAGGTTGCATGGCTTTGTGTGTGGATAATATGCAACGTTTGACCTTTGGCAATCCATTGGAAATTGTTGAAATGTTTGTCACCGTCTTCTGTTTTCTGAAGGACTCTAGTCAGGTATCACAGATACTAATGGATGATTTTCGTGCCTCACAGGGTTACGTTTTTCTCAGTGATTTTCTGTTAAAGTAAGTGCAAGATTTTACCTCTAAAAAACTCCTCTAAATTCCTCTTTTATCCCCCCTTTTAGATTCGACAACAATCGCAGTCAATCGCTGGAAATCCAAGCAGCTATACGCAATCTGGTACTCATGATCTCTTCCCTGTGCATGTGCGGCTTCTATGAGCTACGACCGCCCGTGGCACAATTCAATACCGCCTTCAAGTTGCAGAATTTCCAACTGCCACAGGCCACCTCCCGCGAGACATGCGTGCGGAATGTTTATGCCTTTCAAGTGCTACAAAATGTCTTTCTCAAGTCCACAACTCCGGCACTTTGTTGCACCATTTTGGATGCCATTTCGCGGGTGTATCATTCGGAGAATGCCAATTATTTTATACTGGAATCGGAGCACACTTTGAGCTCGTTTGCGGAGCGCATACACCTAAAGAGTCCGCAGATACAGGAGAAGTTTTTTGATTTGCTGGAATTTATTGTCTTTCAATTGAATTTTGTGCCCTGCAAGGAGCTGATCAGCCTCTCGCTGCTCCTCAAGCACAATCAGTCGACTTCGTGCAGTATTTTGTGTCTCAAGACACTGCTGAATATCCTACGGCATAATGCTGTGTTCAAGGATGTCTATCGGGAGGTTGGCATACTGGAAATCTTCGTGAGCTGCTTGACACGCTACGCGGGACACGTGCAGGACATCACCAAGGGCGAGGAGTCGCTTGGTAGTGGAGCTGTCATCGGAGCAGGAGGAAGATCTGCTGGATACGCTGGGCAAACATATGCTGGAGGCCCTCACAATGCTGCTGGGTGGCGGTGCCAGCAATAATGCTCAGATTTTCCGCGAATATGGCGGCGCCAAGTGCACACACGAGCTGGTAAAATTCAAGCACTGCCGCCCGCAGGCACTGGGCATCATACGGGAGCTCATTCTGTCCGCTGGCGGGGATGATGACATGCTGTATATCCTGTCGCTGATGCACAGCATCAGTCCGCATCAAGTGGAGTTCAAGATACAAATACTCAACATGCTGCTGGGCTGCCTCAAGGATTCGCATCGCACGCGCACTGTCTTCCGGAAAGTGGGTGGCTTTGTGTATCTGACGAGCGTTTTTGTCTCGCTCGATGGCAGCATGGCACAGCCCCAGCCGGGCATACCCCAACAGGATCTCATACTGCTGCTGCAAATAGTCTGCCAAACGCTGGCCACCGCCATGCGGTTCGAGCCAGCGAATGCCAAGTTCTTCCATCAGGAGATAAGCAGCAGCTCGCTGTGCGACACAATGCGGCTGTTGGGCTGCTTTGGTGGCGCCTCAACGCTGCAGGATTTCAATGGCAGCTACGAGCCCCAGCAGACGCTGCTCAAGTATTATCACGAGATATTCAGTGGAGATATTCTGAGTGTTGGGTAAGCAGGAATCAGGGATCAATCCGCCTTTAGGGCAATAAATTCTAATCATTTTTCGCTTGCAGTTTCTCGGCTGATGTGCCCTATCCCCTGTCCTATGTGTGCATCGTGTTTCGGCTGCTCTACAGCATTGCTTTGGATAACTTTGAGGCACCCAATTTGAGTGGCATCATCGGATCGCTCTTCAGCGATCCCCCCGCACATTCGCGTTCGCCCAGCAAAGAGCTGGCGGCGCCCGTGCATCCCAGCCAACTGAATCTCACACAGCCCATGCCGGAGCCGAGGATTGTGCATCCGGGCGTGGTGCTGTGCATGCTACAACTGCTGCCCGCTGTGCAGCTGGAGGAGGCGCCCCTGGAGGCCATACAGCTGCAGGTTTACTTGAGTGAAATTATTAAATCTCTGGTGCGGAATGAGCGCAATCAACAGATCATGTGCGATCATGGTTTGGCCGAGAAGCTGCTAAAGCTCACAAGGAGAGCCCTCGCGGAGGAGCAGCATCCCCTGCACGTGCCCATGCAGTACATCCTGGAACGCTTGGCCGCCCAGGCGCTGCAACCCACCGAACTGCGACAGTTTCTGCGCCTCGGAGAGCCCCTCTCCTGTGCGGACATTGATCTGCAGCAGCCGTACCGCCTGGGCGGACCTGTGCCCCTCACGCGCATCAAAACGCTGGTGTCCATGACAACGCCCAGGGATTTCCGTGCCCATGGCTCGAGCACGCTGCCACCGTTTGTGGAGCTGGACATGTCTGCCGAGGGCTTTGGCTGCCTCTATCTGCCATCGCTGGCACCGCAGGCCACAGCCACTGCTGGCGGCACCATCGATGCGAACACCATTGGCGGCATTGGCGCCGGCGATCGCATTTTTCCACCACAAACGGGTCTCACGTACTCCACTTGGTTTTGTGTGGAGAAATTCTCGGACCCAAAGACAGATCCACATTGTGTGCGGCTGCTGACGCTGGTGCGAACCATACACAATCCACGTGAGGAGAATCTTGCGTGTCTGTCGATACTTTTATCCGCCAGGGACAAGGCCATTGTGGTGTCCACGCAAGAGACGCTGGTGACGCCCAGGAAGAGTGAGTTTTTATCCAGCATCTAATGGCATATAAATCCGCTAATCGATTTCCTTTCAGGCATTGGCGATTGGGAGCCAGAGGGCTCTGATGATGGCATTGCACGCATTTGGTGTCCCGATCTGCTGCACGAGGGCCAGTGGCACAATCTCGTGGTGGTGCTCAATCGTGCGGTGCTCAAGAACTCCAGTCTGTCGCTCTATCTCGATGGTGTGCCCATGCACACGCAAAAGCTGCACTACATTGCCCAACATCCGGGCGCCACCACCGCAAATCTGACATCTGCCACACAGATTTTTGGCTACATTGGCACGCCGCCCATTTGGCGACGCTACTCGCGTCTCTGCTGGAAGCAGGGCGTCTGCCATTTGCTGGAGGATGTGCTGCCGCAGCAGACGGTGCAAACCATCTACCAGCTGGGCCCCCACTACATGGGCTCGCTGCAGGCGCCGCAGCTGGGCAAACAGTCGGAGGCAGTGGCGCCGCTGGTGCCCGAGGATCGTGTGCTGCTGGGACTCAATGCCAAGGCAGTGTCCAAGCTGACGCTGGTCAAGATACGCAAGGTGTACAGTCGTGCGGATAACAAGAGCATTGCCAAGCAGCTCAATATGAATTCACATGAGAATGCCACGCCCATTAAGTAAGGGCAACGTCTGCTTATAATCCTTACCTAGGAACTACAGCTGTCTCTTTTTCTTTCTTCTTGTAGAATTCTGCATAATTCTGCGGGCCACTTGGCTGGCGCTGGTCGCTCTCTGGGCGGCGTCGTCGTGGGTTATCTGGGCGTGCGCGTCTTCAGTCCCCATCCTGTCTCGGCCATGATTGACACGGTGGGCGGCTGCAATGTGCTGCTGGGCATCATTGCCATGGCCCAGGATGTGGAGTCCTTGTATGCGGGCGTCAAGGCGCTGACCTGTGTGGTGCGCAGCAATCGCGCTGCCCAGGCGGAAATGGATCGCAAGCGCTGCTATCAGACACTGGGCATGTTCTTCAAGAAGAAGAAACATCTGCTCAACAGTCACATACTCCACCTGACATTCGGCCTGGTGGGCACCGTGAACAGTGGCCAGGATACGTCTGCCATTCCGAATGTCACCGCATTCCAGGATCTGCTGTGTGACCTAGAGATCTGGCACAATGCACCCAATGGACTGCTGCGCTCGCTGCTGGAACATCTGCTGGAGTTAGTCGTCGAGTCCAATGAAAAGAAACAAAATGTCAAGATCATGAGGGATCTGCAGCTGCTGGTGAAGCTGCTGCACATCATCACGCACATTCAGGATCATTCGACGCGTGAGATTCTCTTCAATCTGCTGGAAACGCTGCTGGGCGGACAGCCCAGGCACACGGATCTGCTGCTCTATGGCCAGTATGTGGCCGCCAAGCTGCCGCGTGCCCAGGACGGCGCACTCGAACGTGCCGTGCTGCTGCCCAGCATCAAGAACTTGGGCGAGGATCCCGATGGCGGTGTGGCACAGAATATTTACCTGCGCAATCGCTGCCTATCGCTGCTCCACGGCCTGTTGTTTACGCCACGCAGCACTGTGAACTATGTGATCTGCGATGACATCTCCAAGACGCTGGGCATGGACTGGCTGCTGCTCTTCATGCAGCCGCATGTCCACTTTACCAACAGTGATCATTGCGGTGCGCATACTCGTCGTGGTCTGTGCCAATGAGAGTTTTCTGGTGCGCTTCCGCGATGCCACCCACAATGGCGGCTATCTGCGCTTCACCGAAATGGTTTCGCAGCGCAAAATGTTGGGCCTGGGCGCCCAGCAGCTCAACCAACGGCCCAGCAATGGCACGGGCACGGTCATAGTGGCCACGCCACAGAATACCATACAACATTTGCCCACCCAAATAGCAGGAGAAGTGCGTCCAGCTGCGCTGAATATACCAGGTGGGCCTCAGTGTCTCCTTTGTCTCTATGAAGCTTAACTTTAAATTTAAATTCCCTTTTTCTTAGGTTTCCAATTGCTGGAATGGCTCATGCAGCATCATTTGGATGTGCCAGAGCTTTACTTTCTGGTCACCGCTCTCATTATGGGCCAACCTGTCAAGGTGCTGGCCACGGAGCACACGAAATTCGACCTGGATCGCGTGTGGTCGTTCCTCTGGGGCGCTCCAGTGGCAGCCAGCACGCAGCTGCCGAAGTTAAATGTCTGCCCCGAGGGCGTTTGTGTGCTGCTGGCCATGGTCCGTGCAATTGTGCATGGCGGAGAGTGTGCCACGTGGCTGCACAGCCACCCGGAGACCATCATCCAACTGCTGTTTAGTCTGTACCAGAATCTCAGTGACTTTACGCCCGTCATGATGGCAGGCGATGTTGTGACCTCCCTGGTGGCAGTGCTCTTTCCGCAGGTCGCCAGGAATGCTGCCGATTCGGAGCCAAATAGCGGCGCCTCCACGCCCACTGACGGCACGGGCAGCAGCGGTTTTGTTCTGCCACCGCCCGAAACGTTGCATGTGGCCGCTGTGCAGCCCAAGATCACCGCCCATCCCGTGTGCAAATGCATCATTGATTTCCTGCGCGTAATTGTCGTGGATTCATTGGGTCTGAATATGCATGGCAAGGCCACACCCGTGATAGATCTGGTGCTGGATGCCGCCCCAGACTCCGCAGAGATGTCGCTGCAGGTGCAATACCAAACGCAGATTATCATAGCCCTGATGGATCATCTGTTGGCGGCCGATGTGCTCGTGGGCGAGCAGGCGGCACTGCCGCTGGTGCCCATACTGCAGAGCCAAATGCAGCACATTGCCCCCAATGTGTTCTACCTGACGGCGCGCATTGTGGATAAGCTGTGGCAGGGCTGCCTGGCACGCAATCCGCATGATATCTTTGATTTTGTCATCAAGCTGATTGCCCAGGCCAAGCGCCGATCCTCGTCGCTGTCGCTGGAGCATCTGCATCACTCGCTGAATCGAAGTATTCTGTTTCTGCTGTCCCGTCCCACCGATGATTCCCGTGCGGATCAAATGAGCGTCCTGGAGGCACTGCACAAGATCATACAGCATCGTTTGCTCATCTTTGGGGCCGGCAATCACGAACTGGAGTTCATTGGCTGCCTGACCTACTGCCTGCTGCAGCTGACGGCCGACATGAAGATTATACTGGAGCCAGCGACGAGCAGAAACACCACCTGGCATGTCAATCCGCAAACAGAGACAGTGGAGCCCAAGGATGAGGATCTGAATCAGCTGCAGGGTCGCAATCTCATTGTGGGCGCCGCCTTTCGCGTCTGGGAGGAGCTGTACGTGTGCAAGAAGCCGGCCATTGAGGAGGTGTTCAAGATATCGCTGACACCGCCGCCAGCCAGCTCGAAGGCGCCCGATCTGCAGACGACACGCGAACAGGTCATGGAGCTGGCCTCCAAGCTGTGGTTCAACTATGTGGAAGCGGAACGCAAGGCCTCCTATCGCGTGCCCTGGGAGCTGCACAATCAAATCCAATCAAAGATACAAAAGGTCACCGGTGGCCTGACGCGCCTGGCCAGCCGCACCAAGGTCAAAAAGGACGAGCTGGTGCGCACCAAATCGAATATGAGTCGCGAGGCAGCCTACGAGTCCACGGGGATACATGTGCAGCTGATCAAGGATCTGCTGGAGCTGCGCTCGAAGCAGTACCAGCAAATGCTGCAGCACACCCAGCGCTATGTGTACCAGGATTGGGTGCACTCAGAGACGGAGCTGACGCGCGAGCGTGGACTGTGGGGCCCCGCGGGCTGCTGTTCGCTGGACAAATGGATAATGGACACCACCGAGGGACCGCATCGCATGCGCAAGAAAACCATGCGCAATGATGTCTTCTATCTGCACTATCCCTATCGCCCAGAGCTGGAGCTGGCCGACAATCGGCAGCTCAAGTACAAGGTGGCCTCCAGTTTTGATAGCAAAACATATTTCCAGCATGGACAGCAGCAGCCGCGCATACTGGCCGAGGCAGAGCACTCGGCTGCGTCCATGCAGCAGCAGGCCTCGCTGGAGTCGGTGCATGGCCAGCAGTCGTCGCATCGCCTGGAGGCGAGCAGTTCCACCTCAACGCCACCGCCACCAGTGTCGCCCAAGCTAATGGGCAGCGGCCATGGCACGGCGCCGTATCCGCAGGAATCATTGGACGGCACTGCACCCGAGGACGATGAGGAGGAGGAGGACACTTCCATGACCAGCGACAATGAGACATTTCTGCGGCTGCTCGAGGAGCAAGAGAAAATCAGCTTTATGTTCCGTTGTGCCCGCGTGCAGGGCCTGGATACCTTCGAGGGTTTGCTGCTGTTTGGCAAGGAGCACTGCTATATCGTGGATGGTTTCACGCTGCTCAAGAATCGAGAGATACGCGACATTGACACGCTACCCACGGGCGCCTATGAGCCCATTATACCCAATTCGGGCGGCACTACCACGACCACATCACGTGCTGTTAGCCAGAAGCTGCGGCAATGCTCCAAGTTTGCCTACGAGGAGATACGGGAGGTGCACAAGCGACGCTACCTGCTGCAGCCCATTGCCCTGGAGATCTTCTCCGAGGATGGACGCAACTATCTGCTGAGTTTCCCCCGCAAGGTGAGGAATAAAGTGAACCAAAGATTCTTGGCCCTGGCCACGGCCCTCAATGACAATGCGCAGCAATCGGTGGCAGGACAAAAGCGCACGGCGAGTGTGGAGCAAACTTCGGGTATCTTTAGTGGCCTGATAGGCGAGACATCGGTCACCCAGCGCTGGGTACGCGGCGAGATCTCCAATTTCCAGTATTTGATGCATTTGAATACGCTGGCGGGCCGCAGCTACAACGATCTGATGCAGTACCCAGTGTTCCCCTGGATCCTCGCCGACTACGACTCGGAGGAACTGGATCTCACGGCGGCCAAGACATTCCGTGACTTCTCCCGGCCCATGGGCGCCCAGGCAGACGAACGCCTGGAGCAGTTCCAGAAGCGTTTCAAGGAGTGGGATGATCCGCATGGCGAGACGCCGCCCTACCATTACGGCACCCACTATTCCTCGGCGATGATTGTGTGCTCGTATCTGGTGCGCTTGGAGCCGTTTGCCCAGCCATTCCTCAAGCTTCAGGGCGGACACTTTGATCTCGCAGATCGCATGTTTCACAGCATCAAGGAGGCGTGGCTGTCGGCCTCAAAACTAAATATGGCCGATGTTAAGGAGCTCATACCCGAGTTCTTTTATTTGCCCGAATTTCTGAGCAATTTCAATAACTTTGATTTGGGCACCAAACAGAATGGCGAGACCTTAAATCATGTCATAATGCCGCCATGGGCCAAACAGGATCCCAGGGAGTTTATCCGCCTGCACAGAAGTGCCTTGGAGTGTGATTATGTTAGCCAACATTTGCATTTGGTAAGACAGTTAACAGAACTCTCATAGTTCCCATTTAAACTGAAGTTTCTCTGTGTTTTTTGCAGTGGATTGATTTAATTTTTGGCTGCAAACAGCAGGGTCCCTCGGCGGTGGATGCTGTCAATGTGTTTCACCATTTGTTTTACGAGGGAAATGTGGATATATACAAGTAAGTTCCGGCTTGCCCTAAGGGCAGGCTGCTCCCCTTTAGTCTAGTTTATTTTTTATATTTATATTCCTAACGCTGCAGTATTGCTATATATGATTTACTTTTTCTATTACAAATTTTTATAAATATTAGTATTATTATTTTTTAATATTTAATTATTAATCTATTGTTTATATTGTTGTACTATTTATTATATTTCAATTTTCTTTTAATTTTTTCTATTTTATTTTTTTATTTATTTGCTTATACTATTAAGAATTTTTAGAAATAGTATCATTTTTTTAACATTTATTTATTTATCTATTGGTTATATTTTTGTATTATTTTTTTATTTTTTTTTTTTTTTTTTATTTTTTTTTTTTTTATTATCTAAATTTGTTTGTTTTTTTTGTTTTTTTTTGTTTTGTGATTATTTTTATTTTATTTATTTTTAATAGTTTATTAAACATAAACTTTGTTCTCCCTCCTGCAGCATTGATGATCCTTTGAAAAAGAATGCCACCATTGGCTTCATCAATAACTTTGGACAAATACCCAAGCAGCTGTTCAAAAAGGCTCATCCAGCCAAGAAAATGGGCGGCTCGCGGCATTCAGCACTCATCGATCCGACAGCCTTGATGCAGGGCAACAGCACAGTCCTGCAAACAGATCGCTTGTTCTTCCATAATCTGGATAATCTAAAGCCCAGTCTGCAGCCCATCAAAGAGCTCAAGGGGCCAGTGGGACAGATACTGCAGCCGGATAAGACCGTGTTCGCTGTGGAGCAAAATAAAGTGATGATGCCGCCGTCGTACACGAAATATATAGCCTGGGGCTTTGCCGATCATTCGCTGCGCGTGGGTCTCTACGACACGGACCGCGCATCGTTTGTGTCCGAGGCAGCGGCCCAGAACTCCGGCGAGATCCTCACCTGTGCGTGTCCCAATGCCAAGATGATTGTCACCGCTGGCACCAGTTCGGTGGTCACGATCTGGAAATTCGATGCAAACCGCAAGAGTCTCAGTGTGAAGCATTCGCTGCATGGCCACACGGATGCGGTGACATGTCTGGCCGCGAGTGCTGCCTACAATGTGATTGTCTCGGGCTCCAGAGATGGCACTGCCATCGTTTGGGACATGTCCCGGTTCACCTTTGTGCGCCAGCTGCGTGGCCATGCGGGTGTCGTGGCTGCTGTTTCGATCAATGAGCTAACGGGTGACATTGCCACATGTTCGGCCACCTGGTTGCATGTTTGGTCCATCAATGGTGATGCTCTGGCCATGGTAAATACGTGTGTGGGCAGTGCGGATCGCATGCAGCAGATTCTATGCGTGGCATTCTCACAAATCAGGGAATGGGATCAACAGAATGTCGTCATGACGGGCTCCACCGATGGTGTTGTGCGGGTGAGTCATAAATGAGGATTTATTGGAACTTTTCAGCAACTTTTCCTTCCCCCTAGATGTGGTCCCTGGAGCACACACAAGTCCCCATTGATCGCAAACTCAAACGTGGCGTGGAGGTCTGCTCCCAGGACAAACCGGACTCTGCTTCAGCCGATAAAATGAATATTTTCAAGCAAATGAAAAGCCTCTCGCAGGCAGAAGAGGAAACAGGTGCGGTTTTTTGCTTGCCACTGGCTAAATTAATTCTCTAAATTTATGGTTTATATTCCTTGCCTCTAGACATTGTAAAATCTGCCTCGGAGAGCAGCATTTCGGAGGCCTCAGAGCACAGCAAAGCCGAGTCCCTCAAATCCGAAGAGAGAGCTGAGGAAGAATCGCTCAAAACCAAAGATAAAGCAGAAGCAGAAGCGGAAGCGCAGGCACCGGAGGCATCGCCAGTGGAACGCAGAAAAAGTTCCATCCCAGGAGCCAAGTCGCTGCATGAAATGAAATCGGCGACAGTAGAAGCACCCGGCTGCAGCTCGGATGTAACGGGAAATGAAGGTAGCACTAAAGGAAGCATCTCTATACACATTTTCCTGCCAACTTTTCTCTCTATAAATCCGTAGAAGATGCCCATGCCATTAGGCCAAGCAAATCAGACACCAGTCTGACCGATGGTTTCGTTTTGATAGACAATGACAGACAAAGAGGTGAACAGGCTTTGAGAAAGGGTAAGGCAATGATAGATCTACAGCATAGTTATAATATTTATACCTAATACTCGTATATGAATTTTGTTTTATGGTTAGGCTTCAAATGGCAACGTCAATTAATGTTTCGCTCAAAGCTAACCATGCATACGGCATATGATCGCAAGGATAATGCAGAACCCGCTAGCATTACAGCCTTGACAGTATCCAAAGATCATAAAATCTTATATGTTGGTAGGTATAAAAATAAAAAAATAATACTTTAAAATATATTAAAATAAATTTAACTGCTGTTTAGGTGATGCTCGAGGTCGCATATTTTCATGGAGCGTCACGGAACAGCCAGGGCGTGGTGTGGCCGATCATTGGCTAAAGGATGAGGGCGCCGATCAATGTGTCAAGTGTCATGTGAAGTAAGTTCCATATAAAAGTGCACTTACCTTTGGCTTGATGGTTTTTATTCTTCATAGATTCACGCTGTATGAGCGCAAACATCATTGTCGCAATTGTGGTCAGGTTTTCTGCAATAAATGCAGTCGCTTCGAGTCGGAGATCTCACGTTTGAGGATCATCAAGCCTGTGAGGGTGTGTCAGGCGTGCTTTAGTCAGTTGCGCTCCAATTCGTTGGACAATTAAGGGGGGAGAAGAGTCACCCCACCTGTCGTTGAAGCACCGAAGGGCAGGCCGCATCCAATTCGAAGCAAAGTGTACCTATAAATTATTTAAAAAGATAATTTACTTTATAATATTTACGCGTATAACCATTTAAAAGACGTTAAAAGGCGCATTCAGTGATGATATGTAATTGTAAAAAACTTAATTAATTCTTTTATTTTTCAATTTTAACGTTTACATTTTTTAACTAAATTATTTAATATTTAATTTTGTTTTTTACAATAATTTTTAAACCAAATGTAAAAGTTGAGCTAAAAAAAACAAACAACCAAAGGCTGTTATATGATTTTATATTTTATTTATACACAATATATACTTTTAAATGAATTTTTTTATACAAAAAAATACACACGCATGGAAAACAGAGTTGCAATATAATTTATACAAAACAATTTAGTTATTAAAAATATTTATTATACACCAAAACAAACAAAAAATACGAAGAAAAATACGATAATAAATGTTGCTTATGGACAATTTTTCTAGTAATATAAAACGTTCTATAAATATTGTGAGAGGCGCACAAGAAAGAGAGAGTCTATTAATGTTACCAGAGAGCTAGCTATACGTAGTACTTCCCCCGTCAGCAGTTAAAGAATAATATCCAGACCCAAGAATAATCAAAAGTGAAAAAACCACGAAGCACCGCCAGTTATATCAATTACAAAAGAGAGACAGAACTTTAGATACACTTTTTTTGCTAGCCAAAAGTCACGAGAATCAGAAGAAGGATCCTTGAGGGATCCTTGAAACACGTTTTAGAACACAACACACAAACCTCACAACACGTAAAACAAAAACCAATTTAAATATATCGTATATTCTATGGACAGCAAGTAGATTTTTCTTTAAAAATAAACTAAAAAAATAAAGAATTACTTCCAAAAACAAAAATTAATAGAAATCTATAAAAATAATGTATGAAATGGAAACTTAATTCTATAAAGCAATACTAAAGAGTTGCACATTAAAAATCATAAATTATAAATTAGTAAAAAAAAAATAATTAAAATAACAAAGATTATAAAATAAGAAAAAATCGTAACATTCGCTGTCATACATTCTTTACATTTCTTCTCAAACTTCAGATCTCAAAAGAATTTCCTTTCTTTCCCTTTCTTCCTATGACAGCAAATCTTTAAACCCAAAAAAATAATGTAAATACGAAAGACAAATAATACAGAAGAAAATACCATACAAATTGGTGACAAAAATACCATAAAAATTAGTGACAACAAATTAGTTAAATAAATTAGTAATGGAGGTAGAAAAAAAAAAAAAAAAAAAGCAAGCAGATAAAAATTCGGTATTTTGTAGAGAATCTACATGTTGCATTGATAATAATTTACAAATATTACGAGTATATATGTAAATGTGAATGTATTTCAATTATATCGAATATACCTCCCCCTTGCCCTAACCCCTTCGACTACTCCCTCCTCTGTTGAAACAAATACCCGCTAAAAACTATCCAAAGACTTGAATCATCAGAACATACAGAAACGAACTCTAAACCAACCAAAAACACATCTCGAAACTGAAAACTATGCATCTAAAAGACTTCTAAATGTTACATTTCAAAGAACACAAAGAGACAAAGAAATATTATATGAAAAATCAGCAAAACCGCAGATCTAACCTGTATTAAATCATAAACAATTAGAAAATACCAAACAAAAATAAAATAAAAGATAATTATATAAAATTATATATATATTAATTGTTAGTTTGTGAGATATGCAGATAAATAAACATCTACGAAATATGCGAAAATGAACAACAAATACAAATAAATAAAATGAAAAATGTTAATAAAAAAAAAGTTGGGAGAGTTTTTAATGGAACACAGGCGAGACCTGAAGTAGGGGAGTCCTGGGTACACATGGAAAGGCAACGAAATCTAATAAAGAGAATGGGAGTGCAAGCTTCTCGTCGTGCCAGTTTGAGAGGGCTTTAAAGGCTTTGGCATCGATACGAAATATAGATAACATCGTCCTCAGATTTATTTATTTTAATTTTAAATAATTTTTGTATTTAAAATATTTATATAATCTCATTCCATGCCATTTAAATGTTAAAAAGTTCTTCGATTACCTCCGCTAGATTTAAAAATAGTTCCAGGCCTCTGAAATCCCCTTCCAATTTTTCAGTAATAAAAAACCGTTACATTTTTTTTTTTAGTCTACTTTCAAACGAAGCGTATTGTTGTGTGTATGAGTAGGGTGTGCGTTGCTGTCGGCGGTTGTGTGTAGATAGTGTATTAGCTTGAAATTTTTGAAAGCCGCTGTTTTGCCAGTCCTCGTTCTTGCGCCTCAATGGATTCGCCAAGCTCTTTAGTGCTGGCGTCCATTCCAATTGGAGTTCCACGCTGGTCTACCCGAGCCGCTGCGTCCGCCGGGATAGCAGTTGCTTCCAGAGCAGCTGCCACCATATTGACCTCCCGCCGACATGCGTGTGCATCTGCCGGAGGAACAACTACCGTTCGAGCAGCTACCGTTGGAGCAGCTTCCGTTCGAGCAGCTACCGTTGGAGCAGCTTCCGTTCGAGCAGCTTCCGTTCGAGCAGCTACCGTTGGAACAATTTCCCGCGGCGCAGCTTCCGTTGGAGCAACTTCCGTTCGAGCAATTCCCAGAGGAACAGTAACCGTAGCTGTTTCCGTTCCCCTGCGAAGATCCCTGAATGGGGAAGTTGCCATAGCCGCTGCTGCCATTGTAGTATCCATCCATGGTTATTTCGTAGCTGACTTCTAGCAAGAACAAATTCCTTTTTAATTTTTTGTTTTTATTCCCAAATATTTTAACTCACTTGCAAGTATTTTTTTTACTAGGCAAACTGACAAAACAGCGTGTTCAATTTTGAAACTACAAAAATTTGGAACACTATTTTTACCCCAGAGATGTTTTCAGGTGAAGGTCTAGACAGAGAATGAGCTCCGAGCTGCCCAAACATATCCCAAACAGCCTTGACAGCAAAGGAAACAGCAAAAGTCATGGCCTCATTGTTTCCGTAAATTTATTTTTCGAACTCAAAATTCGAATGTGGCCAGAGAGAGCATGCGTGGAAATTGTCGAAAAGTGGTGAGTTTTTTGGGCTTGTCAAGTAGGCGTGGCCTGGCCAGTCGAGAGCGAATGCGACAGAGAGATCCTGTTGAAGGAGGGGGGGCGTAGAAAAAATCCGACTTCTTGATGCCACAAATTTGCCAGAAACGGCTGACGATGTGTGTGCGTGTCCCAGGAAGGGGGGAGTAGGAGTGGAGAAGAGGGCCATGTGTGTGTGTGTGTGTGGCACTGAAAGAGGTGGAAAAAGGTGGGCAGGGTTGCTGCTTTCTGGGTGATTTACCACCAAACGCCGGACGTTGACGTCGACTTCGTCGCTGTGCCTGTGCCCTGTAAATGACTTTGCGTTCTGACTGGTTAAATATAACCGCAGGATTGTATTACAGAGAGAGGGGGATGAGTAAAAAAGGGGAGTTGAGTGGGTGGGGCCATTATATAACCACGGTACCCTCTGCCGGAATGGTCTCCGTGTAATGGCCCAGAGTTTCGAGCCGCAAAATCGCCCCAATGGCCATAAACCCGAAATTACAAGACCCAACCCATCCAAGACGCTACAAGAGATCTCTATTCTATGCTGTATCTTGTATCTACATATATCTGTGTGAGTGCCTCTTCCATCAGTGTATGTGTGCGTGTGTGTGAATCTCCTCCCCTCCCCACCGCTCCAGTATTCAGAATGTCGCAAAAGTCATTTCAATTTAGAGATGGAGAGTCAGTAAATCAACCCCTATAAACATACCAACAACACCAGCAACAGCAACCCACCAGATACCAGAATCCATGGATCCACACCCACAACGACCGAACGGGGGAGGGGACTCCCAGCCAGTCGCTTGTCGGGGAAACGCCATTGCGAAAATGCCGCTAACACACACACACACACACACACAGCTATGGATACACACCCATGGTTACAGCTACATATACTTATAGCTTATATCCCCTCCCCCACCCCGCCCACAAATGTGCATAAGATACAGACATAAATACAGACATATATATTGTTATATATATCCATGCCCCCCACACACATATGCCAAGCCATATCCATTGCGATGGATGCCATGTAGATTGCTCTACGGGCAAGCTAATGGAGTCCTTTGGCTGCTCGAAAGAGCTACAGTTTTCATTTATAGAAGAGAATATAATTTCAGAATGGAAGGAAATACCTATGTTTATGATATTATTCACTTTCTATGACCATAATCTTATTGGTGATATTAAAATTATTTTGTATTGCTATTTAAAATATTATTTAAATTATTTAGGGAATATTTTTGGTACTTTTTTGGAATGAAGAATTAAATTTCTAAAGCAATATAATATCAAAACATTCAACCCATTTCTATACGCACATCTATACAATATCATATATTCAGATCGTTTTCCGTGATTGCCTAATAAATTTGTATCATGAGAAACCTTATAATTCGATTTTACGATTTTGAAGGAAAGAATTAATGAAATCCATTTGCTATTTGCATTTAATTCACTTTAACTTAAGTATTCAAGGTATATTTGAGTATTCTAATATTTTCTAGTATTTCTCTATTAAAGGTTCCAGTATCATTCATAATTTTGTGCTATTTTTCTAGTAATTTCTAATATTTGTAATTAAAAATTTGTTTTTATATTATTTGACTAGAATTTTCCATTATTTTCTGTTTTTGTTTTCATCCACTTAAAATTAAAAAAAAAAAACGAGAATATTTGTCATGCAATAAAAAGCTAACATGTACTTTAACTTTAAAAATAAATTATACACATGGTGGATAATCGCACACCCTTTACATCCATTCAATTACAATTCCATTAGCAAGTGAGGACTCCCTCATCCTTCCTTATCCCTTTGTCACAAGCCTTTACAAATCGTACACCCAAATGACTTGAACGGTTTAATGGACCCTAAACTGTAGCGCCCTTTTTTTGCAGAGCCACAGAGAGAGAGAGAGAGAGAGAATGAGAGAGATCCTGACTTTAGAACTAATAATCCGACAGCCTACAAGCAGCGCAGGAGGATGATGGCAGGACCGGCAGAAGGCAGACGGCAAAAGCAAAAGCAGAGGCAGAGCCAAAAAGGAAAAAAAAGCGAATAAAAATCGAGTGAAAGCCAGGAGGGTACACCCTGACTCCAGGAGGAAGATACATGGTATGGTATGGTATTTGCCGAGCACTGAAGAGCAAGAAGGCGCAAAAGCACAGAGTGCAAGTGAGAGAGAGAGAGAGAGAAAGCAGATAGCAGAAAGCACGACGTCCTAACCGATGGGGTTCGTTCCATGGCTAGCTTTTCGTCATTCTTGACATTTTGTGGTGAATTGTCGAAAGCCACAGGATACGTTGCGACAGTGTGCGTGTCCCAGGACATGTCCTGATGTGTGTGTGTCTGTGTGCGGCTGGGTGGGGATGGTGAAAAAAACAAAAATGGTGGACGGCCAGGAAGCCGGTCCTCATTTGCTGTAATCGCATCAGGGGCCCAGGGGACACAGCAAAAAAGGGCGTTTTCCGGTTGGTTGCTCGAACACAGTTCTCCCCATCCCACTCCCCCACCTCTCTCTCACTCGCTCCCAGGATTTCTCTCTCACTCTCTCTGTGTGTGTGTGTGTCCAGTCGAGGGGGTGTTTGGGTGGGTGGCTTCTCTGCTCGCCCACTCGCAAGGGATGAAATGTAACAATTTTGTAGCTTTTCGTAAATTTTCGACTTTCGTTTGGTTCTTCTTTTTTTTCTGCCTTCCATTTAGTTTCTGTTTTTCCTCGGCGTTTTCCGTTTGCCGCCCGTTTTGCTTTATTTTTCCCGTTTTGCCTCTCAGTTGTGTTTGTGGGGGTTGGGTGGGCACTGCCTTTGGCTTTGCCCCCTGCCCTCCTTGTCAAATTGACTGCAAAAAAGGACCGACCTCTCCTTTGGCAGCTTCACTTTCGTAATTGGCGGTTCTGGTCGCCGCCGCCGCTGCTGCTGCTGGGCTCTGCCACATGCCACGGCCTCATCCGTGTGCCTCATTCACAGTTGGTCCGTCAGACCAGGCGATCCGCAATTCGCATCCGCGTCTCCAAAGCAGGACAGCACAGCAGGGACCCCCCGAAAACGTCTAATCGCGTCGGCAATAGGATATAAAATATTTTAAAAATTAAAACAAGAAGATAGGAAAATGCGGTGACTGGAAAAGTGATAGAAAAATTCGTAAGCATAAACGGAAAACACGAAGAACTCATACGTGAAGAAGTTATCGAAAAATTCTGTGCGACACGGAAAAGTGTGTGTGCCAAGTGCATTTTATACTCTGTTCTAATCCAAGATTAATAACCAAAAATTAGACAAGAATTGTTGTTAATAATATATAATCAAAAATAGTGACTGCAACACTGTGGAACATAAATCTAAGCAAGCTGGATACCCTAGGGTTTAAATATTTCCATCAACGGAAAATGGGAACAGGTAAATGACACACTTCAGAATTCGTGCTGCAAATTGCAACGCTTTACCGTCGGTTTGTTGCTTGAAAACTCCACATAAAGCCGTCGGTTTGGAAAATCAAATGATTATTCACTATGTGATTAAATATATTTTATAGTTTTCGTTTTCTTTAATTTGAATTGGTTTTTTATTCTTTTCTATTTCAGTTTTTTAGATTTTTAAATTTTGGGAGCAGTTTTGCAAATGGATAAACGTGAATAAAACTATTTATTTATTTTAATTTCTTAAAAGTTTTGCTGTTGCAGTCATTTGTCAGATGTAAAAAAACAATGTTTAAAGTGCATCTTAAATAGGTAATATTTTTAAATTTACTTTTACTTTAATTTACTTATTTTCTTTTCGGAATTTTTTCTCTTTATCAGAGTTTAATCTTCATTCTGTAGTTACAGAAATGCTGCGTATTATTGAATTGTTTTTTGCAACATTTTCATGGGTTCTTTTTTTTCAAATTTATTTACAAAAAATTAACAAGAGTCGCGTGGAACATCTCTTTAATTTTTGTTTTAAGTTTAAAAAAGAGGATTAAGGATTGAGAAAGTATATTCCTGAAATATACGCAATATCTGATAGTGAGTTAACATTGGATATTGTGTGGAAAGAGAATTTTTCTGCCCATAATATTATAATTTAGATTGATTAAATGATTGAAAATTGGCTTTTCTATATTCAACTGCATATACTATAATACTGCATCTAAAATAGGAATATTTTCTTAGAATCATATTCTCGAATGCATAAAATATACCCCCTGTGCCACGTCTTGTATTCACCAGCGAAACCAGCCGGGAGTAAATTTGATCTTTATTCCATTATGATTTACGATTTATAACCCACTCCTTCCAAATAAAACTCTCACGCCCAAAATGCAAAACTCTCACGTTCTGCCCATTCCCGTAGGATTGTTAAACGAGGGGCTTGAAAACTCTTTTTGGCCTATGAAAACATGTCCGAGATTTCCATACCAGAAAAGCATATTCCATAAGACAAACTAACAAAAAACAAAACAAAAAAAAAGAGAGAGCAAAGAGCACAATGTGATGATGGCATAAATAAACAGAAATATGTAAAATCAACAATAAAAATATATTTTAAAAAAGAAAACAAGAGGCCGACAAAAGGTTGAGTTGACATCCCGATGCAACCCTCTGGGTAGGACACGGACACGGGGGGACAGACACAGGCGCGGGAGGTGTTAACATGCTGCGGACAATTGGCCGATGCGCAGGGTGTGAAAATTGGCAACACGCGCCGGCCACAGAGCCGAGAAACCGTGAATCGTGAAACCCCGGGGCCGCCAAAAAAACCCCAGACCAGACTCAACCACCAAACAAGCGACAATATGTCAAATGTCACAGGACAAAGGACCTCAAACAAAGGCCAAAACATCCCGATGAGCAGCAGTAGCAGCAGCAGCAGGAGGAGGAGGACGAGTGGGGTGAGCTGAAGTGGTAGAGCGTTTTATTTTGACAAGTGCCGAGTGTTGAACTTAATTTGTGAAGCGTGCCACACAGTCAAAGGGATATACATATATCCTCCTGCTCCTTCTACTTCTTCTTTGCTCATGTTGTGTGTGTGTGTGTGTTTTGAGTGCCATTTTCACTTGCTAATCCGCGGCACAACACACGCGGCAACAGCGCCACAAAGTAGGCAACAGAATCTTTGGTGCGTGACACATGGTATTTGCTTTGGGGCACCAGCACCAAGAACCAGACAGAACCAAACAGGAACAGACGCACAGACCGACCTTTGAGGCACAGAGATTAGTGGCGAAACAAAAGTTAAATACGCGGAGAGGGGGGCAACGAAAATGACACCTAAAATTCCTTTAAAGGAGTTTTGATATTAAATTAGGATGAAAATATTTTAAATTAAATGATTTTTGTGAGATTTCTTGCTATCCCAGTGTGGCTTAGCAGTTAACAGTGAGTTTACAGGTGCCACACATACGCAAAAAGAGCTCACCATTTTTCTCTGTTTCCCGCTTGTCAACGCTATTTCTATCCCAGTGTGGCTTAGCAGTTAAGAGTGAGTTTACAGGCCCCCCACATACGCAAAAAGAGCTCACCATTTTTCTCTGTTTCCCGCTTGTCAACGCTATTTCTATCCCAGTGAGACTTTTAATCGGAAAAATACATTCTCAGCAGAATTATCTTTGGGTATTTTTTATTATATCTTGCATTTCTTTTTGGGGCATCCAATAAAACACAAAGAACACCCAGCAATTAATCTCTTCTTTGTTTCTTCTCATTTTCAGCGGGTGATCGCCTACTGGACATACCCTGCAAGGTGTGTGGCGATCGAAGCTCGGGCAAACACTATGGCATCTATAGCTGCGATGGTGAGTCCCGTTCCCCCTCCTGCCACAATGATTCCCCATGTAATCCGCTGATAATCCTTAATGTTTTCCAGGCTGTTCGGGCTTCTTCAAGCGCAGCATCCATCGCAACCGGATTTACACCTGCAAGGCCACTGGGGACCTCAAGGGACGCTGTCCCGTGGACAAGACCCATCGGAATCAGTGTCGCGCCTGCCGCCTGGCCAAATGCTTTCAATCGGCCATGAACAAGGATGGTAAGTCCATGGTTGGCCCCATTCACCCCATTTTGGCGCCCACAAGTCCTTTGTTTTACTTTCAAAATACACTTAATTATGCAGGAAATTAGCTCCAATTGCTTATGCTCTCCTCTCGCCCATGTCAAGGTTTTTGGGCATAAATTACACTCAGCTCGGCAAAACCAGAAAACCCGAAAACCAAAATGCCGCGGGCTTTCCTACGCCGCTTTCCTTCTCGTTTTGTGGCCATGCAAATGGAATGCCAGTTGGGGTTTTTTGCTGTAGTTGTCATTAAGCTGATTATAAATTATGCGAGGTTTTTGCCACAGTCCCCCCAGCCCGCAGTTCCCGCTCTGTGCATGCCCCCTCCTGCCTGGGGTGGTGAGAGTTTTCCCTGGAATGGTGTTGTGTTTGATTTTTGTAATTGAATTGATTTGTTTTTCGAATAACAAGGAATTTAAGAAGGGAATTTTAGAAAAGTTCATTTAAAAGGGGAAAATTAGCTATTTAGAAGAATTGTCTGGTGCTTTTCCTTTAAAACAAAATTAAACTCACTAAATTATTTTTATTTTTTGTATATTTTTTTGATACGTGCAAATTGCAAATGTAAATTTTTTTTATTTGAACCCCAAAAAGTTACCGAAGAAGAATTTAAGTAAATTCTTTTTTTGATCTAATGATCCTTCAAATTACTTTATATTTCACATATTTTACCATATAATAAACGATGCTGTCTTTGGCTGGGATGCCTCGCAAATAAACCGATTCTTTGTTGAGCAAGCTTCATCATTTAATACATTGTAATTTTTGCTGTTCCCGGAACGTCCCAGTTCGACGCAGTCCTCGTTTCCAATCCTATCATTTGGTTCCCCTGGTAACCAGATGTTCAGTGAAATAGGCTTTCCAGTTGAAAACCAATTGTGTGTACCCTCATTTGCCAAGTCATTGCCTCCCGTCCAGTACATTTCGTAGATTCCTGTTTTTAAGAGATACTGATTGATCCAATTCCATTCCTCTATTGTCTCGAATTCAACCAACTCGGCATTTAAACGGCGACACGATTCATGGGAATCAAACCAGTTCTTTTTCAAGTTATGCTCAATATAATAATAACCATTACCGATCTTTACAAATGGTCCTGTGGTAATGTTTTGGGATCCAGGAATTCCTAAAACAGACAGCAGAGAATTATAGAAAATTCTGACTTATTACTCCTGATGTTCTCACCATCAATGATAATTCCAGTGTATCTTAGAAACATTTTGCCAAGACTATGATGATTCTTCCCTAAGATTTTCTCTTTTATACCCCACCATATCATGTTGGCTAAACATTAAACATTTAATTTTTAAACATACAATTTTACACTGATAATGACGTCCGTCTTAACTGAGGGGCGTTAAAGTCCCGTTTCGAAAGTATTGTTTGTCCGCGCACACGCTTATTGTTATTAATGTTATAAATTTTATTTTTCTGTATAGCTAACACACATGATACTCCAGTGCCTTATCCATCTTGGTTAACTTTGCATTTTACTGGCATTCGACATTCTCCATTCGATGCTTCAAGTCAATTTTGTCCATAAAAACAATGTAATGTACATTTCCTGATCAAAGTTATCAGATAGTGCAACCAAAACATTACCACATAATAAGCCTCTCTGCTGATAAACAAATCTGTTAATTGTTGGAAGCTACGATAAGATGCAATAATCTCGACACTTATATACACATGTGGCGGATTTGATTATGGTATCAACCTCTTATAAATGGAGCGCCTTAATTAAGTATCTTTGTCTGAGAAAATCTTAAAAGTGCACTTATCAGATGACAGAATATATTTCAACAAAGATACGTATTTTACGGAATACACAAGCATCTGTTTTTGATGATAATTTTGTACGAGTATTTTAAGTTGCACTCCAGAGACGGCTTTAGTCTTTTATGACGCACATTAGACGAGGCGCCCCCCTTTAATATTGGAAGCATTGCTAAAAATAGGCCTAGTCGGGCATTTGGCACCCTAAAAACTTGGCGCTGTTTTTCTCATTAATCTATATTTTTATGTGCGTTTCCGTTTTAACTCATATGAAAGTAACAAAGTGAAGAGGAATTTATTGGAAAGGGCAAAATATTTTCTGGGGTATATGGGCAGTTCCGCCAAAAGGTCAACCAGGCCAAAAATCATGAAAAGTCTATAAAAACCGATTTACATATAATTTTTTCGGGATATTATTTTCTAAATTTATTAAAATGTAACTAACCACTTCTGTTTTATGTAACACAATTTTAGGTCATATTTTGGCTAATATCTTTAAAACCGTATGCTCGATTATTTTCATTTTATTTTGGTGAATATAGGACTAACCAATACTCGTTTTTCCAAATTTCGGCTATTGACTATATTTTTGAACATTTTGTCGTACGTATGTAATGTAACGCCCGATAGGAACTGCCCATATGACTCTTCCATATATCATTTGTATACATAATAATATTTATATTAATTTTCATGCATAGTAAATACATCTTTGAGAAGAGAAAAGGTAATCCATGGAATCAAACCAGATACATAATAGCTTAGAAAACTCGTTTTCCAATGGAGTATGAGTAGATCAAAGACTCCAATATGTTCGGGAAGAAGCAATTTATATATATGTATTTCAATTAAATTCTATCTTAAAGATTCTTTTCTGAATATTTTCCCATATAATATATAGCATAGGAGCTAAGTCCTAGGTGCCTTGGGTTGCCTCACAAATATAGCGGATATTATCTGAACACTGTTTGTCATTCAATGCATTGTTATATATGTCTCGTCTGGCACCAATTTCGTCGCAGTTTTCCCTCCCTTTGTAATTATTTGGCTCTCCTGGATACCAGATGTTCAGTCTCAAGAGTTCTCCCGTTGAATGCCAAATATGTTTACCCCCATTGGCCAAGTCATTGCCTGAGGTCCAATATCTGTAATTGATTTTCATTTGAAAGAGATACTGATTGACCAAATCCCATTCCTGCATGGTCTCAAATGAGACTAATCCAGCCCCAATCCGGCGACAAGATTCATAAGCGTCGTGCCAGCTCTTTTCTAGATTTGTCTCTATGTAGTAATAACCATCACCAATCTTAACAAATGGCGCTGTCTTTAAGCTGAGAGATCCAGGAATCGCTAAAATATATAATTTATTAATGTACCAACGAATTAAATAAATTGTGGATTAATATATATCCTCATTATCTCACCATCTGTACCATTTGTTATATTAGCTGCGCCCGTGAGGGAAAGCAAGCCCAAGCAGGCGAAGATATAGACTCCAGTGTAACTCGAAAACATTTTGCAAAGACTATGATGATTCTTTTTTAAGGTTGTCTCTTTTATACCCCAAAAGACAATGAAAAATTTTCGAATATATGTATCAAAATATTAAACATACAATTTTACACTGATAATGACGTCCGTCTTAACTAAGGGGCATTAACGTCCCGTTTCGAAAGTACTGTTTGTCCGCGGACATGCTTACTGTTATTATTGTTATAAATTTTACTTTTTATGTATGGCTAACACACATGATACTCCAGTGCCTTATCCATCTTGGTTAACTTTGCATTTTACTGGCATTCGGCATTCTCCATTCAATGCTTATGGACAAAATTGTCCATAAAAACAATGTAATGTACATTTCCTGATCAAAGTTATCAGATAGTGCAAACAAAACATTACCACATAATAGGCCTCTCTGCTGAGCATCTGTTCGCCACTCAGTAGAGTGTATTATTAAAGTATTTACAAAACTAAGTACAATTTCTAAGTGCAAAATTTCTGTACAATTTTTTTTTTTTCTAATTCTTTGTAAGTTAGAAAATTTGTGTGTGTTTAAATGTACATATATAAATTCCTGAAAAGGCACCTTTAAAGTACGATATTCTTCAGATATTTTACCACACAATAAAAGAGGCTGTCTTTGGCTGAGGTGCCTCGCAAATATACCGTAGAGGAAAATCACAACGCACATCATTTAATCCAGGTGTGTCAGGTTTATAAATTTCTTTATAGCCAAGCTCATCACAATGTTCAATTTTTTTAGAATTATTTAGATTATTCCCATTCCAAATATCTAGGGTTATAGGTTGGCCATTAGCGAACCAGACGTGTTCTCCCTCAACACTCAAATCGTTGCCTGAAGTGTAATATCTACCTTCAATGTTCAAATCTGTGAGATACTGATTGATCAAATTCCAATTCTCGATGGTCTCAAATGAGATTAATTCCGCGCCCATTCGGTGACAAGATTCATAGGCGTCGTACCAGTTCTTTTCTAGATTTGTCTCTATGTAGTAATAACCATCACCAATCTTAACAAATGGAGCAGTTGTTATATTGAGGAATCCAGGCACCCCCAAATAATTTCAGACTTCAGATAATTACATTAATGAAACCCTGGTTAATGAATCTTCATGATCTCACCTTCAATGACATTGGATGCTATTTTATCCGCCCTCGTGAGGGAAAGCAAGCCCAAGCAGGCGAAAAAAAAAAATCCAGTGTAACTCGAAAACATTTTGCAAAGACTATGATTATTTTTTCTCTAACGTTGTCTCTTTTATACTCCAAAAGACAACGAAATCTTATCAAATCGAGTACATATTGGAAACTACAATTAAATACAATATTCTTGGAATCTGTTGCGGATATTTGATTATAAATCAACCTCTTATCAATTACAATTATGGAGAGCCTTAATTGTAGTATGTGTCTTGTATTCTAAGAAAACTATATTGCAATCTGGTTGAGCATCTGTTATTGCTGGTTCATTGCATAAATATGATAAAAATCAAATTAATAATAATACAAATATCTTGTATTTACTCGGTATGTGTTTTCCCTTTTGTTACAGTAGCATTTTTTTTTTTTTTAATTTAAAAAGGAAAAATATTTAAAGGGTTAAGTCTACAATACAATTTAATTTATTTTATAGCATTGACAAACACATTGCATTAATATTAATATTTTCCTTCTAT